ACGGATGTCCATCTTCGTGAAGTATTTGGCACCATGTAACCGAGCAACCAGAGAGAGCGGTAAGGGGAGCGGGTAAGTGTTCTTAACTGTCCATTCATTGATGTACCGATAATCTTGACAAGGGCGAAGGTCTCCGCTCTTCTTTCCTACAAAGAAGAAGCCGCTCACTTGAGGTGATTTCAACTCAGAAATAAATCCCTTTTTTACATTTTCATCAATGAATGCCTTGACCACTGTTCGTTCTACTTCGGATAATGGGTATACCTTAGACGTCTTGGGAATGAAACCGGGTTTAGTTTCGATTTGATGATCTATACCGGGTCATTCAGGTGGTAGCTGGTTAAGACCGTCCTTTGCAAAGATATCACTGAAGTCGTGAAGATAAGAGGGGACGAGTTCTTCGAAGGTTTTCTTCTTCTGTTCAAGCCCAGCAGCAAGTGCAAACTGTTGCGCTTTATTACTGGTCTTTACATATTCTGCAGGCCGTGACAGAGGTGTAACCATCGGTCGTTGTTCCGCAATACTAGTCCCATCCTTTGTTAAAGGAGTGTCCAGCGAAATGTTGGTGATTACCCAGAGCTCAGAGGCATCAACGGGGTATTCAACCAAGAATTTGTCGTCTTCTAGATGGTATGTAGAGACTTCTCGCACGGGTGGTGCGTAATCTGTCGTCCATACATCTTCTTTGATATCGAAGGAGTCGTCATCATCGTCGGGAATGGGGTCTGAATTGGGCAGTGCTGAGAGGATCTCTTCTTCTTCTTCTTCTATAACCTCTTCTATCGTGGCTCGGGGTATTGGTTCCTTTGATAGCAAAACCGGTTTCACAGGAGGTGCCTTTGGCAGCACTACGACTGGGACTGGGTCCATTTGTTCTTTCTTCTTTCGGAATAATGGAGGTAGTCCGTTCTTTTCGCGTTCGATATCAACATCTTCTTCAATCAAATCGCTTTTCTCTGTTTTAGAGAGTTCTAGTGTTTCTGCCTTCCATCGGATTACAGGGTCCATGGCGCGTAACCATGGGATCCCTAATAGAATCTGATCACGCCGACCAAGTCGCGTGATGTTGAACTTTCCTATCATGGATCATTCATCTATTTTGACGATAAGGATGCAATATCAGGTAATAGCGCCCCCTTTCGCATAACTGCCATCCACGGTAGTAACCCAGAATGGTTTTGATAGTTTATGCATTCGGATCTTGTGAGTCCTGACGAACTCTTCAGAGATAAAGGTTCCGGCAGCGCCGGAGTCCACAACTGCTGTTGTTTTGACGGTTTTCAGACGAGTCTTTGAAATGAGGGAAATGGGAATGTGCAGTTCCTTTCTAATTCCAATACTTTGTACAAGTCTGATGGTTACATCGGAAGATACTGACATCAATCCAGTCTTCCACATCAAAAATCCTCTGCGAGGTGACAGATCGTTGTATCTTCATCTTCACTGTTGCTCATTTCTTCTCTGCGAACAGGGATCTTCTTCTTCTGCGGGCATGTCCTGGTCATATGCCCCTTCTGGTGACATATGAAGCATAGTCCCTTCTTCATATGGTCGCTTCTTTCTGCTTTGGTAAGCCAATCCACTTCCATGGCATTTGGATCGTGTCAGTCGATAGTTGGTCTAGGCACATAGCATTGTCCTGACAGTTTGGTAGTGGCTTGATGAATGGATCGGTATGCAACACCTCTCTGGTAGTTGCTGTTGAGTCAAATGACTGCAGCAATATACTTGTCGAAGTCGGTTGGGATGGTCTCCATCTGATAGATAGAGTTGATGATTCCCTTCTTTAGTCTGTCGTTTAAGAACATGATCAGGACGGCGTCTTGCTTGACACTGGCTTGAGCGGCCAGAGTTTTGAAACTGGCGATGTAGGAGGTGAGGTCTCCTGTCTGTCTCAATGTCCTAAGCTTGTTCATGGCGGTGCCGATGGCATCAGCAGGTACAAAGGCTTCTTTGAACTTGGTTTCAAAGTTCGCGAAAGTCCCGTAGGTCTTGGTGGCGGTATTGTCAACTTCGGTGTAAAAGGTGAGTGCCCACCCCATGGCACTATCTTCTGTCATATACGCGAGAGTGGTAATAACCTTCTTCTTGTCGGTGTTGTAGATTGTAGTGTTAAGCGCGAAGTACACCTTAATCGCAAACAACCATCGTAGGGCCTGCTGAGGGCTCCCATCGTAGGTGGATGGAGCTCCGGCTTTCAATTCTGAAGTGTTGGTGACGGTGGACATCCTGATCTCTGATCAAGTGATGTTTCTGGTTCAGGGGAACGTTGCTCATTCTCTTGCTGAATTCTCTTCTGGGACCTCTTCGGATGGAGAGGGTCTTCTTGGTTTATAACCTCCCGGATGGAGAGGGTCAATAGGTGGACTTTAATCTTTTGTTACGGCGAACTGTAAGTCGACTAGGATGGGTGCAATGACAGGTACTTCGATAAGAGTATCGCCTGAAGCCGAATCGTCTCCCTACAAATGTAAGGTTCTTAAGACAAGTCAAAGAGAGTGTCTTCGACTTGAATGTCGGTTATCAGATGACTTAGGATTGGAGGTCCTAAGCGAAGGATAGTTCAGGTAAGACCTAGTAGATTAAAGTGAAGTCTAACTAAGTACAGGACCGGGTTTATATAGACGTAAGAGGTTTAGGGCCAGTATCATACGCGTCATCAAGACGAGTCAGAGATAAGAGTATGCGTCATCTAGCGATGGCATGTGGCGATCGAGTCAGAGATAAGAGGAGTGAGTCATCTAGCGACGGCACGTGGCGGTCGTGATGTAATACAGATATGGCGATCGGCTAGTCTAATGATGGCACAGTTAAGTGCGGTCATGACGTAATACACAAGTAAGAAGAGAAAATGGATAGGGGGTAACCACGTCTGTAACACCCTAAGTGACAGTACGCAACATCAGTATTTGTGGGACAAGGTTGCTGCTGACGACTGAGTTTGGCCTTTATCTAGTTCAATGGTCTAGCGACAAAAAGGACCTCTGAGAGGGTGCATGAAGAAGGAACGTGTCCTGCCTAGCGTCGCAGCAGGACCTATAAATAAGATCATAAGCGGCAGTCCCCCACTTTTCATTAAATTTACAAGCCTATCAAGATTCTGAATTAATTTTATTGAATATACTGTGAGCCGTTTGTAACATGGTCGAGCACGCGGTCTGCTGTACGTGCCAGTGGTGCTACACTGGTCTTCTCCAGATAATCAGCTTCAATCCTCTACCACCATTCCAGAATTTATAACCAAACAATCTCTACTTCTTTTTCGAAGTCGTGATTGCAACGAACCGTCAAAATCCTGTCCGTGACCTCCCTTTTCCAATGGTTGCGCACGGTGTCCAGTCCAGGGCGAGAAAACCGCCTCAAGAGGAAACATATGTAATTTTGTCCCGCTTTCAGCTTTCCTTTCAAAACGTCATCATGATCGTGGTAGTTAACGATCCCGATCGCCCACTCTGTCGTAGATGCAGGTGGAAAGAAAGGAGACTGCACAACCAGCTTTCCGAGCGGTGACTCGGATGCCATAATGCTATCAGTGGGACGGGAAAGGAATACCGACTGCCAGAGACTCTGGTCAATAGAGGCAGGGACCATGAAGAGCTTGACCTGCACGCCACGCTTCGTGACTGAGAAGTCGTCATCACCGCAACCCTCTCCCCACCACGAGATCTCGTGGTTCTTGAGCATCTCGAGTGCTGCTTCATCTGTTGTGTGATAACAGGAAGGCTCCGTTGGACGACCAGGGAGTCCGCCAGCCCACACAAGAATTTGCCATTCCTTGCACTTTTCAATGAGCTCTGCCATGAATCTTTTAAAAGCTCGATCTCCTTCTCCATATGCGACCGTCATGGTGATGTCGAAGATGCCAGTAAGAGAGTAGGCAACATCTTCAATACGGGTTGTCTTTCGACTTGCCGCCCAGCTCATCTTCTCCCAGGCACGATTTGGCCCGGAGCGGAAGTTGCGCAGGTCATTTTCGGGGATATTGGTAGCGCGGTGAAGAGCATGAACAACCTGGGCGTCATCTTTGTCGTTGGGATTTTGTGTAAGGGGCGTCCACATTGGACCATAATAAAACCTCATCCTAAGGGGTGCAAGAAGTTCCTGCAACGTCCAGCCACGAAAGAACCACTCGTCATTTTCCAGCATATCCCATGAATTTGTCTGAGCCAAGTGCACTATGCATATATAGGCCTCGCGGTACCACATGTACATCGACCGAATTGCTTCGTCGAGCTCTGAGCTGCTTTCTTTGTTAATGCAGCAGGTATCAGACCATGCGAGGTCACAGCCATACTCCTTTGCTTTTGAGTAAAACTTCTCCAGTTTCTTGTAACCCGCTCCTTCGCGATTTAGGTCTTGAAATGTCGGCTCCGAATCTCCCCATCGGTGTGATAGAATGGCATATTTGAGCAGGTTGACCACAGCCGACTCTATGGCAGACTGTCTCGACCATCCCCTACACCGACGGATGTCATCCTCGGTGATCGTCTCTGGTTTCAGTATCGTAATAAGTTTGTCCCGCGAGATCAATTCCATTTTGGGGATATGGATCAAATGTGATGGAACCAGAAAAACACGTCGTTTGAACTCGGCTACAACATCAGGAATGCCTTTGTCGTGATCATGCCGAGCCACGGGAGGAATGCCTTTTTCATGATCGTGCTGATATGGAGATCAGCTTGCATGTGTATGTGGGCACTTATTTAGCAGACGCACCGCCACAACTTCCGTGGTTCGCGGCATTCCCGTCCTCAGTGCCTCGCGTACAAAGGCTAATGTCTGATCTGCAGAAGGGCGGTCTGCTGGCGCAAAAGAGAAGCATTTTCGGAGGAAGGATGAATCTTGGGCCTGATGCTTAATTACTGGTGGTAGTGGTGGTACCTTTTTTGCAAGTAGTTGGAGGGGAATGTGGTTAGACCGAATCGACCACCAGGGCAACTGCCCAGAAAGCACCTGAGATGGTCGTTAGATACATAGCGTAGGCTTGAATGTCGACGAATGAGTTGATGTACATGAATCATGTTGCAACCAAAAGACCACACATCGCTTTTGGAAGTGGGAAAGGTCTCTTCATCATCGACCAACTCGGGAGCTATCCAGCGAATAGTGGCCGAACGGATGTCGCCCGAACCAGACTCTGGGTTAGACGCGAACTCGTTAAGCCTCTTGGAAAGCCCGACGCCCGTTACAAAAGCACGCCCCTGCGAGTCAACCAAAATGTTATCCTGACGCACCAGTACATGGGAGATAATTAGTGCTCATCTGCCTTATTGATTTTAGTAAGAACTCACACCTGTTAGATCACCATGAACTACTGCGATATAATGCACTGATAAAAATTTCACTTGAGATTCTACACTTTTGTAGATGAGCAGACATACAATATTGCAGTGCCAAGGCGATATCTCGCAGCTGAACATACGGAAATTCGTTTGTACATGAATCCCATAATAATCAGAGAAACCCACCAAGCTAAAACGTTCACCACGCTCTAAGGTCTCGTGTTCACGCAAGAAGTTGGTTAAGCTCCCATTCTCCATCCAAGGAAACACAAGGCTAGGTAAATGACCATGTCCGTATACGTATCCGAGCACAGGCAAAATATGTTCGTTCTGAAGTCTTCCCCATACTCTGATTTCTTGTAGTAATTCGTCATATCTCTCGGTGAGATCCAAGGCATTATTGGGTTGTAGTACCCTAATAACCTTGACCGCCACCGTGACCTGAAGATGTGATAATTATCACTCCACGCTGATTGTTTGACTTGCACATACCGGAGAATAATTCCGTCGGTCCCAGGTGCACTTACAGATATGATGATGACTATTTGTAGCCTCAGGATGTTCACCCTTGGCCGCCACTATGTGATCAGTAAGGTCAGGAATGCAACTGAAACGCAGGGATTCGGTGATTGGCTCCATCATATTGCGGAGAAATCGCGCACGTAGGAATTTTGAACACTTTCGACATAGATTCAGGCAAGGAATCTGATACGATATGCAGGGGTCATAGGCGCCTGGTGTGGGCAACGTGAGTGCCCCGGTTCAGCTTGAACGTTGAACTTTGAGCGACCAGATTAGATAATTAATGTTCACCAATGACGCGGCAATTTCCGTCCGATCAACATGTGCACGCATTTGCTACTTACCATGATGTAGATCTCATTTAGGTCCCACATGCCTCCGCTGAAGAGCACAGAAATACAGTATTTTAGGATCGACTCCTACATCGTTCAATGACATCCCTTCTGTTCTGAATCTGCGCCACAAAGAAGACAATGTACACGTTATGCTCAAGCTGAGCTTGATCCTCCGGCCCTCTCCATAAATTCGCCGAACAAGGTTGCGCGAATAGAATATTATTCGTGATCGAGAGGTAGATCGACCGGGGTCGTATTTCAGGTCTTTTCAAGTCACGTACGTATCCTGCTATCGCCCTGCACGCAATTGCGCGTCCAAAATCTGGACCATCAATGTATTGTCAGCTTATAGACGAGCTCTTCCTGCCATTCCTCTTGTGTTTCTCCCGCTCTCCCAACTCTTCTCCTTCTTTCTGCTCTCCCTCCTGTTCTTTCTGTTCCTCTTCTACCTCGTCCTGCTCGTCCAGAAACTCAGACTCTTCTGATTCATCAGAAATAAACGACTTCGTGTTTTAAACAGCCGATTCCTCAGCACCCTCAGCTGCATATCCAACAGAAATGTTAACGAAGGACGAGGCTAGCACTCTAGTCAAGCCACACTTACCGACACGTTTTCTTACTCAGGCAGGACTCTAGAGGCTTTGTCCAGCGACGCGACGCACCTGGGAGGGAAGCGTCATACAGAATTGGTCGACTTTTCTGTGCACGCCGTTTTCAGCGGTTTGCATTGTTTGCATTTGCCATTGCCTCAGGAAATACACTCGATTCTGCATCTTGCCTTAATGTGTTAAATGAGTGGCACGACTCCGTGACACAAGTCCAAGAGCAGCAATCATGACCAGATGCTCTGAGACTCGCATGTCCCCTTCGACCTCGGCGGGTCACATTCGCTGAAAATCGATCATGACACTGTCTAAGCTTCTTTAGCGCGGGCTCTTCCGCCAACACTATGTAACCAGCCATCTTCTTTCGTGCTTAGTGCATTCATACCAGCATATATCGCGCTGAACAGCCCTTGACAACACGGAAATACACGTGCAGCATGACATTCAACCTCTCCTCTCCCTCTCAGCTGAACTCCATCCACAGTCCCCATATTCCCACTGCTGTCTTCCCGCCTCACCCATTCCGCCCACCACTCAACCCACTCGTCATTTTCCTTCTTCGCACCATCATGTCTAGTAGCTCAGAAAGCCGATACATCAGACTTGAAGGTGAGTCACTCCATATTACCTTCGTATCCGTTCCATTATTCTCACGTTTTGTCTATATACATCAGTGGAAAGAATCTTCGAGTCCCTTCCAGGCGCATTCCCGCTGGAATTTACATGTCCATTCAAAGGGACGCTGGAAATTAGCCATTAAAGTGATATTCCAAGAGGTCTGTAGCATGGCGCGATGCTGTGACCCTGCAACGTTGGACACTTTCGGACGCGACTCGAGAACTGATCCTCGGTTTCTAGATCGTCGTATGCGTCACCTGCATTCTCAGTGGAGGTCAAGGCGTCCTATGCGTCCGATTGAATGCTAGGCAGTGGAGAAGTCATCAAGAACTTCAAATGTTGTGGGATGGGCTACTCGGTCATGGAGATAGGCCATTCGGGGAGTAACCTGTTTCTCATCTACTAACACCTCGTAAATCTATCCTTCCCACCCGTGCACGGTGTCCATCCTCCCTTATGCTGAAGGTTGCCGTTGTACCAGGACGGTGCACTGTCTGATGTAGGTGACGCTGGTCTCTGTTATTAGCTTTTCTGATTAACACCAACAGGCCTTCTCGACTTCTCGGCTATTTTCATCTGCGAATGAAGTTGGCTTTGTTTTCTCCATGATTCTAAAGACTAGATGTGCCCTGTCGCATGCCATTTCGAACCGCCTGTTACCTGTGCATATTTGCATTAGAAGCACATAGAGCACTACATCAACGAGTGTAGGCGCGTCATTGTCCTGGTCGAGGACAGCCACCAGTGACCGTAATGGTGGGCGATGAGCCGACACTTCTATCTCCACGGTATCCGTCAATTGTGTAATGAGCAGCTCGCTCGCTCGGAAATTGGCTGGCAAACTCCAGAACGCATGCGTGGTGCGGAGCATACTCCCTCTTGACAGGAAGGTCAGAGCGCATGTCTCCGTCACGTTAGTACAACAAAATTGTCATTCTCCCCTTCCTGAGAGGATCTGTAACTTGCAACTGACACCACAGATTGGATATTTACGCGGTTGATATGTGTACCGTGTTCTCCACGGGAGTAAATTGGAGTGGTGGGTGGTGCTGGATTCACGTTGAGCAAGCGGTTCACGAACGCACCCGGCTTCATGTATTCTTTCATTTCTGGATGCAATTCCACATGGCGCAGGACGATAGCAATGCGAGGGCTGACCACGAATATGCGGTGCAGGCCAGGGCAGTCACCTCCCAAACCTTCCCACAAACCAAATGCGTTGTGCGTGACGATAGATTCTTCCCCTTCTGCGGCTTCCCAGACTGAAGAAATAGTAGGCAATCGTCATGTCATTCTGTAGAGTTCGACGAATCTAGGAACTCAACCCTGAGTACTGAATATGCCATGTCTATGGCGCTGTTGTGAAGCACTTCATATATGTTAAGAGCAGGTGATCGATGCATCGATGAATTTAAAATTCGTCGAAGCGGAATTTGAACGACACTCAACGGCTCAAGTTATTTATGTTCACCAGTACTACGACTCGTACGAGCTCGTACGTAATATCAACAGGGTCAAATGAATATGATGAAATATTCAAATGTTCTTGTGAGGTTGATGTGGCCCGGGTATGTGATCTTCCTGAAGGACTGTGGTTAATTTGTCATGGCATAGGTGTACTCAGTGGTGGCGAACCCGACTCGGGAGTTCGTCGTGTCATACACCGAGTAAAACCGCTCGCTGTGGAAGAATAATTCAGCAATTGATCTTCCCAGTAAAAGAGCAGCTCAACGTACAGGAAACAGTAGCCGTTCGCAAAATCCAGGCCAGAACCAGAGGGAGTATCAGTGGAACTGATAACCAGGTATATGCTGTCGGTGGTACCGCCAATGGCTGTGTTCAATGATCGAGGCCAAATTTGCCCATTGGGGGTGAGCTCATAAGTAACCCCACCAGTAGTGAAATACAAGGATGAGAGCTGGCTGTACTGGTCGGATGAGATCTTTAAGAAGCCAGTGCTCTCATCGAGGGTTGCCCCCGTAGCAGACTGATATTTGTCGAAGGCATCTGAACAGTGGATTAAAAGGGTTTCAACGTCGCACAGGACACCTACCAGATGCAATGAGAATGAAGGTGGTTCCGGTATCGACGACACCAGCTGTCTCGGCCAAAATGGACGTAGGCCCATAGCTGATGGACTGATCAATGCCCCAATACATACTGGCTGGATATATTAATGTGATCGGCACATAACTGATGTTTCCAGTAATTTTGGAGGCGTCATAACCGCCAAATGTGAGCTCGCCGCTGCTATCGTCAGAGGAAGCAGGTGCGAAGAACACTCCGAGTACTTCCGAACTGATACTTTTCTGCGCATAAAGGTTGTCCATCACAGTTGCAACTTCATTTTCATTGTTGACGATGCCAACCGTCAAATCAACTGGTCCAAGGCCAAGAACTCCATCTGTACCATCCAGATATGGGTGGTTAGATGCGACGCCAATAGATTGGTCGCTAATGACCAGATCAGAGTTTAGCGTTACGGTGTCTGTGTATTCTTCTCCGGAAGCATAAATCCCACCGCCATATATAACAGACTGGAAATGGTTTGACAAAATGTATGTGCCACATAGAAACAAATACTCACAAATTGATTGCCTGTGTCATGGCTCGTGGTAGTTGGCTGGTAAGTCTTGTTGGCCCCGATCCAGGTAAATGAGCTTCCGGTGTCTAGCACGAGTGTGTCTGTATGAAATTGACAATGTATGAAATTAGCAAGATTGCAGGAGCACGAGCAGCTTACAGTACGTTGCTGGACTCCCCACGCCAATGTCAGCGGTGTACATCGCCACAGCATTAGTTGCATCGATGGAGGAGCTGCCGCCAGCTTGTAAGGCCTGGATTCGAGCTCGATCTGCAGCCGCGATGTTCTTGATCCCATACGAATTGATTCTAACGGCGAGCTTGAGAGCAGCTGTGCTTGACGCCGTCCGAAGATGAGGCAAAGCGCTCGCTGACAGCGAGAGGAAGGCAAGCGCCGGTAGGGCAAGAAGAGACGAAAACGCTCTGGAGGGAACCATCTTAAACTCCCTGAGTCATCCTTCCTAGCTGGCTGTTTTATATGATGGTCAGTATTAAACGTTAATCTAACAACACTGCAGGAGGCGAACAATAGCAAGGCTTCGAAGCGACTACGTTGGCTTGGAATGTGACTGGGCCCGGGACTCATCGTGTGGAGATATATTCGAGTCCCATCTGTGCAGGAAATGAGTGTCGGTTAGTAAGTATCTGCAGCGGAAGTCTGGTAACGACCTTTGATTGAATGGCCTGCAGGATTTTACTACAGCTCAGTAGTGCACTTCCACTACTCAAGAACTTGGAAGCGCGAGACTAACTCATTTGAACATTACATTTACCACCTTATTTATGTAATATAGTGGTACCTAATATTTACGTGCCACTAGATTAAGTTAACCTCCCGTGCTAACTACTTTAGAGACATCTTCTGCTTTGTCGTTGACTTCACGCCGGTTGTGTCGGATCGCGAGCTCCCTGATCATGATGTGACGGTACGTCCATTGCGTCTTCCTGTATTTTACGTAAGTTTTTTTTGGCTTTTTTGTAGTCTCTCGGGTTCGACAAGCAGTTCGTGATCAGTATCCTGACTGCTCCTAGTAACTCTACGGCACGTCACCGAGAATTTTTCTTACATGACTCGTGACAATTACGCTATTATCGCCCGCGCACAGTTCAGACTCATCTGATCGAAAGGACTACTTACGTGACATGCTACCAGCGCATGCATGTGATGTTGCGTGTGTCATATTTAACTGTGTTCGTGCTTCTAAAGATGCCTCAGCCACATTAATATTTTGCGCATCAGATTATGCCTGATCCTTTTTCTAATTCTCGTCGTGATCGTCATGCCGGCGCTTGAGCCAGAACGTCACGTTTCAGTGAAGGATAAGTAAACGCAGCCACAACGACGCCCAGGTTGTGCAGATAATCCTGGTTGCAGTGATCAGGATGGCCTTTTTCCGATCCGAGTCCTGCTATTATTCGATGATAAAAGGGATGCTATAACTGAATGGCAACAGCAGATGAACATGGAATCATCGAAACGCAGCCCATGTGCATGTTGCGCTTAAAATATCACAGCTGGGGAGTTGTTGCTTGTCGATGTGCAAAAGGTACTGTTGAAATTACTTCGGAATGACTGTTTACTCGTGCACACTCTGCCACGCACTTATGCTTTTGATTTGTATGACTGTGCCATACTCTGTATCCTAATGGTTTATGAGATCCACAGTGTAAAACAGGTTTATATTTATGTCGATCTTGTCGATCGGCCTTAATATATAAGTCCTCGCGACAGCCTGACAACGCTCTGGCTGATTTTCAATATTATGGGCACTTGAGGCTCTCACCGTCGGTCCGCGCAGCTTTTTCGGAAACCTCGCTGTACGATTTGATGTTGGTTCCTCGAGCTCGTGCATCCCAGATTATTCGTCATTATGCCTATGGATTGATTTAACAAAGAATGTCGAAGAGTGCAACGAGGAAGAAATAGAGGGTCCAGGGTTGCCCGGAGAGCTCGTCATCGTATTCCCCATGCCTGCTCGCCGTGGTTGCAGGTGGCAACGCCAGGGATAATAATATTCAAAACAGAAAACTACTAGGGACGGAGGGAACGAACAGGCCTTTCTGACTTTAAGTTTCCCACCGTGACACCTGCCATCTGGACTTGACTCAGGCGAATGGGGAAAATCATGTTTATGAAAACAAATTGAGTGCGAGGGAAATAACGGATGGGATGTGGGGAGCTAGAGAGAAGGAATAGCATTGAATTAATGGCAATGATTCGTGATGCCAGCGAGTGGAAGCCGAGATAGCTGGTAAGGCGATGAGTCTGCTTCCTGGTCGTTACCATGTTAATCTGAACTGTCCATATGGATAGAGTGAGTGGTGCAGGGTCAGAGCATATCTTAGATCAGGGAAGTTCACGGAAGATGCCTATCTTGTGTTGATTGTCTAGATACAGTTTCGCAAAAAGAAATGGCACGTGTGAATGATGAATGTGAAAGTGCGGCAGTGAAGACGACACTATGGGACCATTAATGTCCCAAGTAAACTCGTTTGCAAGTAATTACGTGTAAAAGGACAGGGAGTGGATCCGAGTTCGATGGCGATGCACAGGAAGTTAATATTTAGGCGATGAAGGCGCGGGCGGCATTAATGCTATGCCAGCATGCTGGCTGATGAAACATATATATATATGATACTCGCATGTGGATTTGAATTTGATGTAGGCTGGGGAGCACCGGTTAGAGAACGTTCTGGATATTAACTGGAAGATGGGAACGTTGACGATGCTACCCGTGTGGAGGAGGGGCACGAATATATAGCTTGCGGAAGCTGCAGATGAACAGATCCGGAAGAGTGATTGTATCGATATATATAGCGGGAAGTCTTTTATTTTAATTATGAGGAAAGTTGAAAGAATGTTCGATTTCAGAGTATATTCGCTATAGCGTACAAAAACTAAATCACGGCAGCTGCAGCACTTGCCGTAAATGGGTAGATTTGCAAATCAAACCCACAGCTTATCATCCGAGCACGAAGGTCAGTGTTTTATCACGGATGCGCACAATGGGTGTACGGGATTTGAAACTGGACCGAGTAAGATCCGAATGATTACAGGGTATCAGGAACCGAATCAAAGTATACTTTGATTCATTAATCAAAGACTCCCACTTTTGCTTGATTTCGTATCGCAGTTCTAACTTCAAAGGCCTCGAGGTGGGCATAAATTTTCATGATGCCGATTTTGGCGATACAAGTGCTGAATGGTGATATATCTAGCACGAACACTAGATTGTCATAACCCCCAACATCCCTCACCCACTATCGAATATGACCGTAGTATCAAATGATCCTAGTCTGTGGCCGTTGATCAGTTGGAGTATTTTTTTAAGCTATTGGACGAGTTCGTCGTATCAGTTAGTGATGTCTGGATCTAACATTGACTTGTGATTTTGCAGTCGGCGCCGGCGTCGTGGTGGTTTACGATTGGGGTGAGCAGGACAGTGTTCAAAAACCGCTGATATTATTCTCATGATATTTCCAGTACTATCACTTGGACAAGAGGTACGTCGGTGCTATTGTCGGAGCAGCCAACTTGCTAAGAATGTTGTCATAGATTGAACTGATCTGGGTGAGTGACAAGGTCTCATAACGGAAGAAAAGCAATACAATGAGGTTTGGGCAGAGGCAACACTGGTCTCTCATGACTATGCTGTATCTCGTTGTTCGTACCTTATGTTATACTATAGCGTGGTTAGCAAGTTGTGCTGACTGCAAAATGTTCTAGGTGCGCTATATTGGAATACCATATTCTGTGTATGTTTTTGAGGCCAACAACTTGGTGCTATACTAATAGCCCGTCTCTCATTATCAGTATCTGCGTCCTGCGTATGTCTCATATATACTGTGTTCGATTTTTCTGATCGGTGGCACACAGAATACATGACAACAGTCTCGCTGACAGATGCTGTGAGTGTTCCGCAACTATCTCATTCCCATTCAATGAATTCATTCATTGTAGGGGTAAGTGAGATTCTGACCATTGAACTTGATTCGACATAATGACTACACAGATGTGAGTCAGAGTGTTTGATTCTAGTATGATGCGACCACTAATTGGGTATTTCAGGCGATATTTTGGACTACGCATTGAATGGGACAAATGTGCTCGTACCTGCCATGCTGGGCGGTGAGCTGCCATACCTCAGTGATATTGACTCAACTGAAATACGATGCAAGTCATCATGATTGCTCGGTTGTATGCTATGTATCAGAGATCCAGGATGATGCTTATCTTTCTTGTTATTATCTTCCTGGCTGTAAACATCGCCTGCATAGTAATTGCAGCAATAATATTCAAGCATTCTGCAGGGGGTAAGCTTTACTTTTTGACTCGAAGAACCCAGCTCATTGGACGAACACCAGAGGAACTGATACTCTCTGGCATGTATGTGTGCAGTTACGGATATGAGGGGGATGTCCAGTTTTTGTCCTCAATGGTTTGGGTGCTCAACATGGTTTGGGAGGTCCTCGCACTGTGTCTTTCAGTCTGGATTGCTGTGAAACACTTCCGTGACCTGCGACGATTCGGCCAGTCGACAGGATCGACTATCGGGGACTGTTTTAGAGTGCTGATACAATCGCACGTGCTTTATTTTGCATGGTGAGCTCGTAGTGTGAATGTGGCTGTCTTTTCATGCTTAATTTCTGCACGCGCTAGCTTTGCTTGTGTCTCTTGCCTTGAGTTGAGTAATCTCTCTCCTGGGCTCTGGGTGCGCCGACCAGTCGCTTACATATCCTTGTAACCGCTGCTCACCATTTCTGTAGATTTCACCTTCTATGGGAGCTCAGATTCTCACGGGTGCTCTTCAAATTCTATCGTTCGTGCAAATGTTTGTGCTGGGACCACGCCTCATCCTTAGCGTTCGAGAGTATCACACAAAACTTGTGGCCGCTTCCGACGCAGAAATCAGCATGAATTCGATTGTCTTCCAGGAACATGTATATGTAAAAACTAGCAGTATGGTGTAGGGAAATGCATGCCGAGTTTCTGCAGGGAGGAGATATTTTGGTCGAGGATCCGTCGTGGCATTTATTTAGGTTATGACGTTTTGAAGCATTGTCGAAAGCGGAGGAGGCACATCTTGAAGCCCAGTTGGCCAATTTAGTCTCAGATGCAAAATGCATCCGGGTCACGGAGAGGAAAAGGAATGAATCGCGTGGACTCATGGTTCGACTGGATGCCTCTATCCCGAATGAGCATAGCAAGGAGATGAGCGGGAGTAGAATGAGAGATCTGAGTGAGCATTCACCAAATCATGAAGAGGCAAAGGTGAGCGATTCATATCTACAAGCATCTGTCACCTTGTGCATGTCAGTTGCATCACACAATCGAGGGAGGCGTCGGCATGGGCTGGAGATTCGGAAGGATTTTTGGAAGCTATCATTATCCAAACGGCATTATCCGAGAACTATGCATAGGGCTTACGTCAGTCGGTGCAAACTACCGCTGTCGCATGATGATACTTGCTAGCATTGCCGCTTGACAAAGAAGGAACGACTGTCTTCCGAAGTCCAAGGTCTGACAGCGGGAGACTATTAGTATAGACACTTACACTGCCGTGAGTCTGGAAATCGGTTCCTCAATGAGTCTTGATTTTATTCAAAAAATATGTACAACTGATGCGTCTGATCAGTAAGTGATCATGAACACTTTAAAAGATCAATTCGAACAACCTGAATCATTCAAGTACTCCCAATGACTTCTTCATCTTCAAACAGCTTGAAGTTCTTATCCGATTCCTGTGGAAACCCATCCAGAACCCAGTCCAAAAAATTCCTCCTGTGCTTTCCCAACCATGCAAGACAACCGACGATGGCCATCTCATCTATCCACTTTCTGACGGTCTGGTCTAGAGTGTCGCCTCCTGGCGCCGGCTCATATCCCGGGAGTGATTTTTGCAGTATCACTTTCATAATCGAGAAAAGTAAGTCTGAATGCTTCTCTGGTATCTTGTAGACAAGCCGGGCCTTGGGCCTCTCGCGTGGCTGCGAAGCGTACGGTTCCGGCAGGGACCTCAGTGTTATACGGCCAAGACATTGGATCATTGATGCCGTTAACTGGTAGTAGCTCTGACTGATGGGATTGGTGGTCGGCCCAGCCATCCCGCACATTGCTCGTAACGAATATGCCAGGTGAAACCCGGAAGAAAACGATGATGGCGAAGCCCGGGAGCGGTACATATTCCGCGTGAAGATCCTAACAGATACATCTGTTAGAGTGTCTTTCTTGAATAGCCTTGACAATATTTCGGGAGCCTGTGGGCTGATACACGAAAGCGCATGCCACACTCCAGGGTTGCTTGACGCACATGCAAGAAAGCTCATTACGGCGACTTCATCTTGGAGCTCTTCCAAACTCCCTTCACCTCCGGACATCACCGCGCCCAGTCTGCTCATGCAAGGTATCATGAATTGGAAGAGCTGAGATGACGACTCGTTGGAAATCGAAGAGGGTAAGGGAGCAAAGCTCACGCCTTCTGCGGGAGATATCTCATCCTTCTCTTTACAGACCTTGAAAGCCTTTTCGACTTCTCGGCTGATTTCGTCTGCAAATAAAGTGGGCTTTGCTTTCTCCATGATTGTAAAGACTAGATGTGCCCTGTCGTATGCCGTTTCGAACCGCCTACTACCTGTGCATATCTGCATTAGAAGCACATAGAGCTCTATATCGACGAGTGTAAGTGCGTCAACGTCCTGGTCGAGGAAAACCGCTGGTGACTGTAATGGTGGGCGAAGAGCCGACACTCCTGTCTCCATGGTATTCGACAATTGCGTGATGAGCGGAACGAACAGCTCGCTCGCTCGGAAATTGGCTGGCGAACTCTGGAACGCACGCGCGGTGCGAAGCATACTCCCCCTTGACAGGAAGGTCAGAGCGCATGTCTTCGTCGTCACGTTGACTAGCACAACGAAATTGAACTGTAATGTTTGGGGTCGCGACAGTTTTGTGATCTTGAACACAAAGCTGTCATTCTCCCCTTCTTGGGAGGATCTGTAACGTGCAACTGACATCGCGGATTGGAAATTTACGTGCTTGATGTATGTACCGTGTTCTCCACGGGAGTAAATTGGAGTTGGCGGTGCCGGGTTCACGTCGAGCAAGTAGCTCACAAACGCATCCGGCTTTATGTTTTCTTTCATTTCTGGACGTGAAACCACATGGCGCAGGACGATGGCAATGCGAGGACTGACTACGAATATGCGGTGCAGGCCAGGGCAGCCACCTCTCAAACCCTCCCACAAACCAAATGCGTTGTGCGTGACGATAAATTCTTCCCCTTCCACGGCTTCCCAGATACTGAAGAAATAGTTATTTGCGAGAACGTGGTAAGTGTAAGCTGGGAAGTGTTCGAGATCAGGTAAGATATGCGATTTGGTGATCATTTTTTGAAGACCTTCTTCGCCGTACTTCTCTACGAGTTCTGCAGCATCTCGCATGATGTCTGAATGAGACGCGTCCAGGTAGTATCTGAGGAAGTGTAGCCATATCTCGACAGCGGATTGAATACCCTTCGCTTTCATGAAGGACTCAATCCACTGACGAGCCACTGCATTCTCTGGGTGATCTGCTTGAAAGTAGATACCGGAGCAAGATACATTGCGATAATGCATGATAAACAGGAACTTCCGCAGGAGCTCTAGAGGCCTCCGCTTCAGAGTGAAAGTACCCTTAGGAAGCGCTTCATGCAAGTCCATAATGATGGAGGCTGCTTGACGTTCGAGGGCTGCTAATTTCTCCTCCAGTTCGTTGATATTATCGGTGTTGTGGACGTCCTGGTAGAAATTCGGTACGCCGTAAACCTTTCCAATAGGACGAATGTTAAGGCTACCCGTGGCAATATCATAGTAGTGGACGTATTCAGGATAAACACCGGTGCGTCGGAATTCTTTGACTCGTTCTTTATTGGACCTGTAAAAATGACATTCAGTGTCCCAGTCTAGTGTCTACATGCAGAGTGCTCGAGAGGACTCTGAAAACACACTTCACAGGTCCGACTTGGAATCTTCGCAATATAAACCGTGGAATGAAATGTTGGTATTGTGGCTTAAGTGTACATGGACTCGGAGAGCCGTCCGTCTTCTGATCTTCTCCTGCAAGCCCCGTTCTGGCTTGTTGTTTCGGGGTATTCATGCGGTGATGTCGTGTCATTCTGTGCTAGTCATGGTGTTCAACGAATCTAGGAACTAAGCGCTGAGCGCTGAATACGCCATATCTGTGGCGCTGTAGCGAAGCACCTTATGTATGTAAAGAGCAAGTGATTGATGAAGTTTAAAGTTCAACATTCAAACTTCGTTTTGATCAGCGACCACCGCCGTGTCACCTTAGTCCCGAGTTAAATTGTGAAAAGTCAGTTGCTACTGGTCCAGGGCTCTAAGCGCGCAGCCGCGGTTCATGAAGCGAGGTTTGAACTTCTCAAGTTCATATCGTCTGCATGTACGTGTCTGCTTCACCTGCTATCTCCAATGAAATATACCTTCAGGCTAAACTCGAGCAATCCCCGCCTCCCACGTTAGTGGGAAGAGGGTTTTGCCTGATCCAAACGTTCAGCCACCTATACGCAGATGTGTGGTAACCCTCTGGAAACCTTCTACTACAAGGCCCAAATTGAATCCCACAAACTTTTCACACCCAATCGAGCTCCTTTATTCCTCAGTATGAATTTACCTGACTTGTATCTGGTCAATCGACTGTCTGGTTTTAACTCACTTGTGCCATATCTGAAAGCTCTTTACTTCTCACATCTGTCACACACGCACATGACACCTGCCCGACAGCCCTTCTCATGGCATTTGTATTCGACGCCCACAACATTTGATTTTACTGCAGGATTATGGACAGCAAAGGACTGGTTAACGAAAATCATATCCATATACATGCACGGTCCGAATTGATCTAGATTGATCAGTTTCTTTCAGTGATCGCGATCAAGTCTTACAACCTGCCCGTTCATGGAAGCTCAGACCCCATATCTACGTCTCCTAGCTCCTGGCTCCAATGCTCGTGGTCAGCTATCCAATGGTTCTGACGACGATTCACATACTTTCAGAGAATGCCGCTTCATAAGCTGCATAGAGGGCACGCTTCTTCCCAATACGCTCGGGATCTTGCAGTTTGCGATTGGAGCAAACCGCACTCTCGCATTGTTGGAATTTCGTGATGGCCGAAGGGAGCTTTGGGGGTGTGGAGACGCACACAAATGGTAGCCAGGTCCTGACAACTGACAGAATTAACGCCGATCAGCACGCACCCGAACAAAACTTATGCTTCCCAAAGATATGCCCGTTGTCTTATCGCTACTGCTCAGGAGATGCCATATCTTGTTTTGAAATCACCTTCCCGACTAGACGTGGTTATCTCGATAGGTTCAAACGACTTTGGGGTACTCGGCATAGGCACAAGACGGGCTATGGCAACTCCAGCAGTCATTTTATTTGATCACCTCACTATCGAGGGACGCTTTATCAATCCCAGTGAGCTCATTGTCGAGTCCATTGTTGCAAGACCTCGTCATGTCGTACTTCATGTGCGAACCGTTCTCAATAATGAGCATGCGCTCATTGGCTGGGATTTGGCCAGACATAGCCAACTAGGGGACACGAAGATCGTGAACTATGACGGCCCTCATATCGTTTCCCTCAATATACCTCTACACCGGTGCAGATACGTTCTCTCGGTGTCCAACACACCGTAATCAGGGTAATTAATAGCCTTTGGATCTAACAAGAAAGGACAATTCCATATGATGGATTCTTGGGGGCGTGTTCGACAGGTTCAGGTACACGTAGAACGGGACATCTTCTCAGAACGACGATGCAAAGTACCCTTCTATCGACGGGAAGTAATGCCCATGGTCAACTAGGTCGGCAGTCGCAAGTCGAGGAGAATGGTGTCGGACCTGTTGGATTTACCTTATCCCATAACGGCAAATTGCCTTCACTGAGATCCTTTGCTTATGGCAGCGAACTCTCCGTCTGGTTAATCGGACATAGAAGTTTTAAGGTGGTGGTGGAACGACTACGGTCACTTGGAGCTAGACCATACAGATGTGATATAACGAGCACTTTGATCGCCTGAAGACGGTGAAGTATTGTTCACATCCATTTCTTATCTTCCAAGTCCGTAGCAGCAAAGAGTAAACAACATAAGAAAAACGTCCAAATGTCATAAGGATTCCACACTCTTGAGAGAGCTGTGTACAGTTAATCACGTGCAAAGCATCTATTTCGAACGTCAAGTACTGCACGTCGGAGAGGACTGGAGTGGGGTGATGAACGCAGGCAAGGTGCTACTAGTAAGGAGGGTGAAAGTGACAGGATACATCAGGCTCGTTTCACTGCTGCCCTGCTCGGCGTCAATAATGAACCAGGCAGAAGTGGCATGTTGAGATCTGGGACTCAGGTAACAAAGATCCAGGTATTCTGCTGCTATGTCTCAATCAACCATTAGAAGTGGTTGCTCGAGACATCGCAGCAGGTGCCAGGATGGAAGAAGTAACTACTGTTGGTTCAGGCTCCCATCTGCTCTTCCCCCTCTTGCTCCTGTTTATCACTCTGATTGGCACTGGAATTTCATGTCTTCCTGTTGGTTAATGACGCCAATCAATCGCCCTTCTGCTGAAGGAGCACTTCGATTTGTCAAGAACGAGCTGGTATCGTGCGATTGAGTAGAAGGTACAACTTACGATGTCATGCACTTGCATACCGCCCTTCTGTTAGCTTTCCATACGCTGTCGATATAATGGTACTTGGGATCGCAATCGTTAGCTGTCACGTTCAATGGTCCAGCGACCAAAGGGACCTCTGAGAGGGTGCATGAAGAAGGAGCGTGTGTCTGCTTAGGGCTGCGCAGGACCTATCATAAACGGCAATCCCCGATTTTTCAAAGGCCTATCAAGATTCAAGCTGGTGAATCGGATCTACTGGCACACACGATGGTCTCCACGACGTTGATATCATCTATCCCACAATATGTCTCAGCTGAGGAGCACAGAAATATCGTAGGATCAACTCCTACATCGTTCAATGACATCCCTCCCGTGCTACGCCACAAGGAGGACAATGTACGCGTTATGCTTGACCCTCCCCTCCATACATTCACCGAACAAGATTGCGCGAATGGAACATTATTCGTGATTGAGAGGTGATCATATTGATCAATCGCCAGTCATCGTTTCAGTTCTGATGGTTTGCCCTTCACAGCGCCCTTGTTTTCATGTCATCGACCGGGGTCGGATTTCAGGTCCCGTACCCTGCCATCACCCTGCACGCAATTGCGCGCCCAGAATCTGGACCATCAATATATTGTCAGCTAGACGAGCTCGCTGGAGAACCTGGAGCAGCTGAGTCACCTGAAAATGATGAAGCCTCCGACATGCGAGAGTTGAGCATCATCCCGTCAAACCCTGCGTCTCGTAAGTTTTCTGAGATCGACACGCGTCACACATGCTGATTGCAGTTATCTGATCAGTGGAGCCGATATTTGAGGCAATGTCTCTCTGTGCTTCCCTTCACCCGGATCCAAATGTTTCAGATGATGACGACTTGGACGAAGCATTTATGGATGAGAGCGCCTTTGAGACATTTACGGGCGAAGAGGGCGATGAGCTCAGTGAGGTTGGCCGGGTGCGCAGTGATTTCGTCAACAACAGTCGTTATGCACCGTACTAGACACCTCACGCAGGCAGCTCTCGAGCATCTGGAGTCGATCATCGATGATCCATATCATCTAGGCGAAAATGGCGTTAACGGGGCTGGCGAAGATGTTGAAAGCGAAGGCGATGGAGGACATTAATCTGGACGTTGATTCTGGATCTTAAACAGACGGCACGAGCAAAAGTATCTATTTCACCAATGAAGGATCGACACATAATTGAGACATCCAATACATGACCATTTGAATCAACAAATCATATCAGTCTTTATTTACGACTTGAAACCCTTGGGCCGAACATCAGCAGACAGTGTTGTTTTTGGTGTGACAATTGGTAGTGGTCCCCAGTCAAATACAGCAGCGGGGGCTTTTGGTGCGGGCGTCGGAGAAGCTTCGAGACTCTCCGACTTCAGCATGGCCGCCGATTTAGCTGAAGATCCATGTCTTGATGTTCGCTGTGGGCGACGTGAAGAGGAAGCTATGTAAGATGTAGAATCATCGTAGTTGATGGACGTTTCTGGCGACCATCCACACTTTGTGAATGTAGGGGTGTTGAACGCAGGCAAGGCACTGCTAGGAAGGGAAATGAAACTAATAGGTGTAGGTGTATTGGGCTCTTGCTTCACCGTTGCTCTGCTTGGCGTCAGGAATGACGTAGGCGCGGGTTTGGATGCCGCCTTCTTGTTGAGTAAGGGCTCCTTCCTCACCGCCAGCAGAGCCCGTTTTAACTTCTGTGCAGAGCGTTCGGCATTCAATGCAGCAGCCGTGGTGACCGCTACATGGGGAATCACAGCCGATGGCTTCTTAACGCTTGATTCTAAGAGCCGTTTGTCTCGTGAACCGAGGACATCAGAGGATATGTCCAACTTGCTCATTCGCTGCTGGAGTTTGGCGACATCCCCACTTTGTTGCGTGATTGAGATATCAATGTTGCGGAAGGTGCGGTTCACGGTATCCAAAGACGGTGCCCTGTAACCAAAATATGAGACGTTGACGAATTCGTAGGATTGGACAACGAACTTTAGGCTTGGTTTGCCTGCCTTTAGCTCAGCAAGCCTCTTTTTAGAGGATTGCAGATGGTCCTCGAGCTTTTGCACACGGTCCCTCATCGTCTGTCCACGAAATTAGTATATTATCTTGTCAATCAGAAAGAACTGTACCCTTATATCCCTCCGTAGTTGCGACTGAGTTTCCAGATATTCCGGTCCAAGGGTTCTGATCTTGAGCATCTTAGCAAACTCACTGTCCGTCTGAGCTCGAGTAAACCGAATAATTTCCTCCTTTCTTGTTCCCGCTGTATACCATGCATTAGACACTGATGATCGTGATCTCATTACGAACGACTGACCTTTCAGCATACTACTCTCAAGCTCCTTGAGCGATTGCTTGAGAAGCTTCCGTTGCTCCTTTATCTCTTTGATGTCACCCTGGACTTCAGTCATTACACGACCATATTCCTGGATGTCTCCAGGCGCCCATTTTGTTGCATCTGCAAGGTCTGCTTTCACATGAGATTGTCCTGACGTTTTCTTTGACCTGAGTTCGGCGGCTTGCTGTGTTGCACGCGTTGCCATAGTTTTTAGCTGACCAAAGGGTAAGCCTTCAGTTTGAATTTGTGCATCAAAGACTTACATTGTCAAGTTCCCAAGTTAAACGAGAGACCATAAACGAGCACTCAGACTGCATGCCTTGTTCGATGGGCGGAGCTGGCGGAGATATAGAAGGAGGAGGAACTGCAGGTAGCGGTGGGCCTGGAGATAGAGACATGGGAGCAACGGGTACAGCCCCAGGTGGCTTGAAACTACTGAAAACGCCAGGAGGCGGACAAGTAAGATCAGGAGGCGCTTCCGGTGTTTTGACTGGCGTGCCGAAGATACTGGGAGATGCAGGACTGGGACTCTCACTCGGCTTTGGAAAACCAAAGAAACCCGCTGGAGGGGGCGTAAAGACTGGTGGGGTTGGAGTCCGAGATTGAGTCGGAGCTACAGCGCCGAAGAGGCTAGGCGGTGTGGTAGTCAACACGGGCTTTGGTGGTAGTGTAAACGCTGGTGGCATAGGCAGCGCCGTGATGGATGGCACGCTCGCACTCTTGCCGAACAAAACTGGGGGTGTTTTGGGCCGGGAAGAATCAGATTCTGCGTCTTGCTTCACTGGGGGTACCCATGAGCCGAATTGCGGCCTCGGTGAGGCAGGGTGCGGTACCATAGTCGGAAATGCTGTTTTCGCTTGTGGTGAGAAAATGGGAGCTTCCATGTCTCCAGTGAGGGGGGCATTTGCAAGAGGTGAGCTTTTGACCGGTCGGGTACCCGTCGTCCTGGGAGTTATAGCGAATGGGGAGGAGGCAGGAGGCTTTGGAAGAGGCGAAACCACGGGAGGTGCAACACGTTGAGCCTCAGGCACGGGAGATCCAGGTGGTGTTGTACTCTGGTCCCTAACTGGAGATATCTTTCGAGGCGGAGGGGAAGGCGAAGTTGACAATGTAATGGTCGGTAACTCTGCTTTTGGAGTGGTCGATCGAGACCTGGCAGCAGGCGATGGAATAGAAGAAGGAACCACTGTGAGCTCAGGCTCCCCTTCTTGCGTCTGCACTTCTAGCTCCTCCTGATGTATATCCACTTCTTTTTTCTCATCTTTCTCTTCCTTATGCTCTTCTGGCTGTTTTTTCTGTTCTTCCCATTCTTCCTCAAGCTCCTCCTGTTCTTCTTCCTGTTCCTCTTCTCGCTCGTCTTGCTCGTCCGGCAATTCAGATTCTTCAGACTCTTCCGATTCTTCCGATTCATCATCAGAAATAAATGACTTCGTGTCGTCCTCGAGCTCCCCATCCTCATCAGATTCTTCAACAGTCGAGTCCGCATCACCCTCAGCCGCATCTTCAGCAGAAACATCAACGAAGGATGAGGCTGTCGAAGAAGAGATAGACTCCAAGGAAGGTTCGTGAGGCAATGCCTTGTCCATGCCCTTCGCCTCCTGCGCTTTCTCCTCGACCACGGGAAGCGGCGGAGTAGTTGTCCTAATTGGCGTTTCCTCTTCCTTGACAGCCTCCACCTTTGCAACCGGCGTAGTAGGCGTAAGCGGCTCTTCTACCTTGACATTCCTAACCTCTTTAGCAGGCGTCTCAGGCTCGGCAATGCGTACGGAAAATACATTGACAGATTCCGTCTTTGGGGGTTCCTTGGCCTCGTCACCAGTGCTCTTCAGCAGCTCGCCAAATGACTTTGGTGCGCCCGCAAACGCACTGAAACCTCCACTTCCACCTGACGCAAAAGCGCTAAAACCGCCCGTTGAAGGTACCGAGAAAGCTGACTGAAGTGGGCTGGATGGGCTCTTGAACGCTCCTCCTGGCATGGATGACGCACCAAATGTAGGAGCCGGGGGACTGGGTGTCATGGTCCCAAAGGGACTTTTCATTACAGCGCCAGGCATCGACGACTGGCCGAAGGCAGGAGCCCCGGTAGTAGGTTTTGGCGGTGTCGAAGGGGTACCTGCCGCCAGAGCAAATGCAGAGACAGGTGGCTGTGCTGGCGCCGGCTTGTAAAACGGAGAGTCTTTCGGTAGTTCTCCCAGCCCGAATCCAGAGGGTTTCATCGAGAATGAAGATGGAGATGACTTCAAATTACTGAAGGCACCTATAGTCGGAGCTGGCACAGAGCTCTTGAATCCAGACTCAGTCTCTTCACCCCTCTGCGCGACAGGGGAAGGAGACCGGCTTTCGTCGCGCGGCACAGATGCTTCACGTGGAACGTTAATTCCCTGGGTAGGCGTTGGTGCATCGGGTTTTGTAGCATCGGTTGCACTACCCCATACAGGCTTCTGAGCACCTGTATTGGAAGTAATAGCTCCGAAAGCATTTGGGGCACCTGTTGCAAATGCGGCGAAGCCTCCGGAAGCAGGTGCTGGCGTTTGTGCAGTATTGGTGGCTGATCCGAAGGCCGGTTTGCCAAAAATTGACGTTCCAAAGCTGGATTGTCCGAATCCAGACTGTCCAAATGTACTCTTCCCAAAGCTAGAGTCAGATGTGACACCAAATCCAGTCTTCCCGAATGCAGAAGTAGGTGTAGTAGCAGATCCAAACGCTGAGGTAGTCGCTGGGGCACTGCCTCCAAATGCCGATGTAGTTGATACACCACCGAACGCACTGAATGGACTCTTTTGCTGGCCTCCATTGCCAAGAGCTCCAAAGCCGGTTGCAGGCTTGATGAGTCCACCTCCCGCTGAGTCACTGGTAGGAGAAGATTGAGATGTAGCTGCGCTCCCAAAAATGGAGGGCCTTGAATCAGCGCTCTGAGGAGCAGGGTTACCGCTACCGAGTGAGAGACCACCAAAGCCGGGTGTATCATCTGCAGCCATACTATCTTCTGCAGATGCTGATATTGATGCGCTCTGTGAAGGCGAAATAGGTTGTGCTCCTCCAAACCCGAACTCTGTCTGTCCGAACTTCGAGGGTCCAACAGTACCAAATGCCCCGAACCCTCCTGAAGTAGGCGTGGTGTCAAAAGCAGACTTCCCGACTTGAGCAAATAGTGAGGCCGATGGAGCAGCGGACCCAAATGCAGGTGCAGGTTGTCCGAATGATGATTGGCCAAATGATGACTGGCCGAAAGAGGGTTGAGAAAATGCTGAAGTTGGTGACGACTGTCCGAACGCGGATGTCGTTTGCTGGCCGAAAGCATTGTTTGTTGATGTCTGACCAAAGGGAGATCCCAGTTGCTGACCGAACGATGATTGCCCAAATGAAGGTTGTTTCCCAAACGCGGACGACTGGCCAAAATCAGAGGCTGTCTGGCCGAAAGCTGACGCGCTGACGGAGGGTGGAGTGGGTTCAATAGGAGACGCATGCATGTCGTTGGACGGTTCCCGCACTTATCGCGGTTGGCACAGCTGACAGTGTCTGGGCACTCTCCATCATCGCTCTTGAGGATTGGGTAGCCATGCCCGGGTAAGGTGTTCCCTTGCTGTTGAGGACATGCCAACCTGCTAATGTCCCGTCTGATGCGTATGCATACATGATAGGTGAAGGTGGTAACTGGACACCCTCCCCGGACGCGCTTGTGTGGTGGAACGGCTCAGTGCTAGTTAGATCAAGCTCTAGGCCAACGAGGACAGTGTCGTTCATGTCCTTGTCCAACGGGAGGCTTGGCGTCGACGTTTCCTCAAGCGACAGATTCGACCAATTCTCTCCTACACACCCAACCACCCCAATGTCTGACGAAGTACTGTCTCCCATAAATAACAATATCTTTGCGGGATCCCACCCACGCAAACACACGATGAATGCACCAGGTGGCCGCAGCCCGGGTGAAGGGTAATATGGAGAGGAGAATTTCAAGTCTTGTGCGGAATTAGTTTTGCCATCAAGGGAGACATGGAAGTGAGTTTGTTCGACTTCTGGGTTAAGTGGTAGCTGTGCGTAGATCGCATGGAAAGACGAAGCAGATAGCCAAGTCGTTGATATGACGCAGGCATTAGATGCGGAGGGTGGGCTTGGAATGCTGGACTTTGGGGCGGAGGTAGAAGTAGGTGCATATGTGACGATGGAACCGCTTCTCATACCCAGCGCAAGCTGCTTGCCCTTGGGAGACCAGGATACTGTACAATGGTCAAAATATCAACATGACATCGAATGAAGACACGTACTTGATGCGGGAATGGTATTTGGTAAATTCCCTGCTACCCAACCTCCCACGGTTGTAAGTTTTTGGACGTCGAGAAGCTCTACTGCTAATCCGTTCGAGCCAGCTTGGGAGTCCCGTAAGATGGCCACAAGTTCTGAAAGATCTCCCGTATTCGGAGATATTGAAACGACGAAAGCTGAAGGCACAGCAGGAAGTGAGTAAATGGGATTGACGGGACTGTCTCCAGGGGAGAATAGGTGCTCTGTGGCGTAAACCATAATCGACCCCTCAGCAAGCCCAACGACAAGTCTGGAGTCATTGGATGCAAATACGACAATATTTGGAGTGGCAGCACCCAAGGGAACCTTCCTTTGAGGTTGATACGGTCGGTCATCCGTATCGTTGGCGGTAGCAAATGCTGAGCGAAGATCGCTGAGTGACGACAGCACAAGGACTATAAATATGCATATCAGCAATTATTGCGAGGCGCGTGGTATTGATACATACCTGTCTCAGAATTGGAATCTCGGCCCACTGCTGCAAACCATGCTCGAGAGTTTGCGACCACGAATAAGGAGGCCCTGCCTGGGATGGGCGAAAGGTTTATGGGTTCTTGGGAAAGGCGAACACGAGCGCGCTTATTCAGTTGTCGAAGAACGATAAACTAAATAATGAACAGTTAAAGAATACAAGGTAACAACTGAGAGATGGACGCACATCGGCATCCTTCTCCCCCGGCTCAGATGACGTTGTTTGAACGGGAGGAGGGACTGTAGGCTGAATTTGTGAGATATTTGACATAGAAAGCTAACCAGAAGTCTTTTTGCTCGCTCGGATACGTTCACAAGGTTATACTTGGCCTGGACGAATTGGAACACAGGAAAGAGGAGTCCTTCAATGGGCGGTTTGAGAAAGACTGACTGAGTCACGTGTCCTCTAATAACTTTGTGAATAGTTATGTAAAATAGTCTTTGTCACGGTGGTCGTCGCTTCAAACGACTGAGTAGCTGAGGCTGTGAGCCAGGTTATGCATCGACGCTGATTCATGCGAGTAATCATCCACCAGAAGTCTAAGTAGACATCTTTGCAGTTCAATTGTTCGCCAGCGTCCTGAACCGTGCACGTACTACGTGCCTGCATCACATGCAGTGCACAGCCAACGTCAAATGCACAGCCAGTCACACACCCATTACCACAATCTCTCTTTCAACGAAACATAATGGCAGTCCCACACGATGCTCAGTCCGCCGTACTGCTCGCCCATGTCGCGATGCAACTACAGCTCAATATATCCTTCCTAGAGTCTCAGAACTACATGTCTGCTGAAGACGCCGACAGCATGCGTGAAATCATATCACGCTTGCCCGGTGGTGCAGGCCAGTCGGTTGTGACCACCAGCTTTAATGTGATCGATCCAGCAGTTACGACTAGAGCTATCCCGCTTCCAGCAGATATACCTAGAGGGAGAGCAATCCCGCCTCCACCTATGCAAACACCCCTGATATCACCTATTTCCTCCCAACAACCTAGACTCGCGAAAGCTATCTGGGCATACAACGAGGACGGGGCAGTAAGTTTTCCGCCACCCAGCATCTGCACAGTATTTACTTTTGCCACCAGGAACCAAACGATCTCTCGTTCGCTGCTGGCGATGTCATCGAAGTCGTCCTGGAGAAGAACGAAGATTGGTGGCTTGGTCGCGCACATGGTCGGGAGGCTCTATTCCCGTCTAATCATGTCGAGAGCGTGGACGCTTCTACCATCCCCCAAGCTGGTGCAGTCGCGACGACTGCAAGGAAACCGTATAGGCCATTTGGCGCCGCTCTGCATGGGACTGACAGGCCCCCCGCTGCGGGTCCAAGCGTCAACTCTGTTGGTCTACAGGAAGCATCTGGTCAGGCAGAAAAGAAGAATAAATTCGGAAAGTACGGTAACACAGTATGTACTTTCGCCTCAAAACCAGGACCATAGGCTGATGCAGGTTTGGTTACTCAGATGGCACACTCGGCCGCAGGAGGCGTTGGGTTTGGTGCTGGTAAGGAGTCTATCATGGAGAAATGCAGGTCGGATGTCATTAACACGTCCTTACAGGTGCTGCCATTGGTGGTGGTTTGATCAGAGCAATTTTCTGATATGGTCGTGGCACATGGTTGAGAACTTTGGATATCACATGGACCTGGTACTGACAGTGTGTCTATTTATAATTATCCGCTCTGTGTCCTCAAGTGTATTGACAAGCAAGTTGATATACGGACTGTCTAGTTGCATTGTATCGCGTCCTTCTTGATGAGGTTAAAGTACACTAGTGGAAGGGACGACGAAAGCCGACGTCAGAATAGATGTGCTCATGTTCGGAGTCACTCGCATACCTGGGCTTCAGGGCCTTGGACTTTGTGGCGGTTCATTATCTAGTTCTTGCCCTTCCCCCCGCCCTTTCCAATAATCGAGCCGTACCCGAATTTCTTGGGAGACTCGGCCGTTCACCTGGGTCAATTTCCCTTGTCCGATGTATATACCTCACTGTGTCCAGCGTCAACCAGGGACTCACTCTACGGTAACCGAATATTCGTATCCGCTGACCACGGATGATCTTGATGAAATAATCCGACCTCTCAAGCGCATCTATCGTACCAAAGATGAGGTCAGCGGCTTGGTTGATCATGTATTCCTGGTCTTGGGTTAGATGCCATCGCTCAAGTTTAATGATAAGGCTGTGATCGTGGACGTACTATCGCTTGTTTCGGCCAGCCCCGATGCGTTTTGGGCAACGCCAGTGCGGGATTGGCGCCCCTTTGCACAGCAGATTAGTTTGCACCTCAAATTATAATCAGAGACAAAGATAGCTGAGGACCCGAGGCTAAATCGACAGGCCAGTGATCGGGTTGACACCTTCCCCAAAGGGCATTCCTTCAGGTTCAGATGCAGTGCTCTGCAGGTGCCAAAATAATGGGAACGTAAAGAGGAGTGTCGGATGGCAAGGGAGGAAGATGGAAGTAAGTGGCTTATCTACCATGACCGATGGGAGCGGCTGATATTATTTTTCATTGCATTATAGGTTTTGCAATGGGTGTGTATGTAGGTGCATAGCCTTGTATGGTTCGTTTGCTTACTAGGGATGGTTTGATGGTTCCGATCTTACCGATGTACTGTTGCCTGCCGTTGACGGCTCGTGATTGTTGCCTTGTATGTCTACTGGACTATCAGAAGGGCTGAATGTTTATTATGGTTGCTCATCATGACTTCCACTTACATTAAGGTACGTGACTGCAACCGTACTCCAAAGCGAAGCCTTGGGCTCAGGCCCAGGTCCCGGCTTCTTCAAATGCGACACAATGGATAGCAACCCAAGGTGACTCCACAAACCTGCTTGACCACCCTTGATAAACACTGCATTAATTGCAACTTGCTGTACGTATGACGGGTGCGCTTGTTACACTGCAGCGGAAGCAACCTTTTGAACGCAGAAAAGGCGTGAATAATGGACAAATTTGGAATACCTTTCTGGACGATGAATATGAGGCTTGATTTTTTTAAAAAATGAGAGCTTTTGCATGAATAACAAGTTTAACTTATGAGACATCCAGCGTGTTTCATGCAACAGTTAGACATAATCAAGAATGAAGTGGATGATTCTATGTCAAGAACAGAAAACACTCAGACGAGCTTGTAGTGCCACCTGAGTTAAACTGTTCATTCATGCAAAAGCTCTCAAAAAAAAATTAAATCAAAGTTCATATCCATCGGCCAGAAAGGCACTCTAAATTTGTGCATCTTTCACGCCATTGTCATGCCTCTTCTGTGTTCGAAAAGGTTGCTTCCGCTGCAGTGTTATCAACTAAAGTAAGATCACCTGACCAAGTTCCTGTACCACTCGGTGTGAGTTTTTGGGCTGGTGGAAGAATAATGCGAGTCGTGGCCTGATGCGATGTTTGACATATGATCCGCCGTGGCGCTGTTAGTGGCAGGCGTATCGGGAGATCATTGGTAGGAGTTGAAACGACGACAAGATCCTATCAGGGCGCTCGTGATCAGGGTCTTAACGCGGACCCAAAGGTGGCTCACAACACGTGACCAACTATGTACCCCAGATCGGCGATCTCAGTGGAGGTTGGTTTGAAGAGCCATCAGTCGTTTGACTTATGGGGAACATACAACAGCCCCAGCTTCTTGGTCCACTCATCGGAGTCGTCTCTGAGCAGAACAAAGATTGGTGGCTTGGTTACGCACGCGGCCGCTGGGAGGCATTATTCAGAATCTCATCTAATTATGTCGAAAAAATACTAGACGCTTCTGCCCTCCCCCGAGCTGTTGTGACAACTGTAAAGAATTCGTATAGGCTGCTTTATGAATGGGACCGGTAAGCCTACCGTCGTGGGCGTAGGGACGTAGGCTGATACAAGTCTGGTTACTCAGATAGCCCCCTCGGCTGCAGGAAGCATTAGGTCTGGGTTTATCATGGAGAAATGCAGGTCAGATGTCGTGAACCTGCCCATACAGGTGCTGCCGTCAGCGATGATTCTCTCATAACGATATTATGATGTGGTCGTGGCATAGCTTCGACATATGGTCCAGAACCTTGGATACCACATGGATCTGGTATTGACAGTGTGTCCTATAAATATCCGCTGTGTTCTCAAAGATGTGACGAGTAAATGTATACATTGCTGGTCTCGATTCATTCTTCACGAGGTTGAATACTCTACTAATGGAAGTGATGTTCCGACTAGCCCAGATTTAGATCGGTACCGCCAGAATAATCATAAGAACTTCGAGCTGGTGGCTGGTTCGGCACTATGCTCCAGTGGAACCTTCCCCCCTTTGGGCTCAGATATGGCACTGCCTGAGCCAATATAAACATAACAAGTGGATTTGGATGGCACACCCTGAAGCAAAGAAGCGGCTTATCTATTGCGACCGGCGGAGATGGAGCCGCCTGACCTGCCAGCTTGCAGCGCATCACAAATTTTGCACGGTGCGATATGCCAGGATGATGACTCGTACTGTGACATGTGGTTTACCAGGGATGGTTTGATGGCACCGATCTCATCGATGTCGGATAGTCCTGTTGCCTGCCGCGTCGTTTACTAAGAATGGTCTGATGTCTCCTGTGCCATTGATTCTTTTTGCCTGCCGTGTCGGCTACTTGCTAGGGATAGTCCGATGATTCCATTGATGATCTCATGTGCCAGACTATTAGCGCACTCGAGAGGGCTGCATATTGCTTATCAGAACTTGTTACGGTATGTGCTGCAATCTCCAAAATGAAGCATCCGCAAACTTCTTCGCGAACAGGACAGCAATCAGTCAGCTGATTTCATAGCCCCATTCGAAGTCGATAAACACTGCATTTCAACTTGCTGTATGATGCAATGAGTCGCCCGTACGGTGCCACTAACAACTACATTCAGCTCACCCAATTTGCTACAGCGTCCGTTCCAGCCGTCCCTGTCCTACTGGTTGTATCCTCGGACTTCCCACAGCAACCATCTGTCGCAGGCACATACATTTGGTTCGTCCGTTCTGTTACAGCATTTGTTCCAGATGTTCCTTTCCTGTTAATTGTGCCCTCGGGTCAAGACGGGTGTTCTACACGAACAGGCACATTAACTAAATTCGGTGGACTTTGTATAGCGTCTGTTCCAAGACATCCCTGTCCTATATTGTATTTATAGCGGGTTTCCCAGGAAGGTATCCTTCGTGGGCACACCGCCACGGATAAGCATATTCTGCTGACTTGAAGAGCTATCCCTTGCTAACAATGTGAGCAACTCCATCGGTTATCAAAAGCATGTTTCTAACTTACAAAAGTTACAACGTTGACGCTGGGCCTGAAGAAGCCAGAGCTCAACACAAGCTCAACACACCTGAGAAGCATTGAACGAAAGAGTAGATTAATTTTTAACCCGTATTTCCGAAAAGGGGTCACTGCCTGATTAGGATACCGCAAAGGGAGTTGATGAACATAATTAATGCAGAACGCCAATCTCTGCGACCTGTGTGTTAGATAAAGAATCAAATATCGCCAGCAATGAAAAAGGTTTAACGTAGCGCCCCCTGCCCTAAATCTATAATACACTGTTGGTATCTTTGTACCGAACGCATGGTAACTTAGCAAAGATTATGGTTGCTCGTGATGTAATACTGTCCTTGTGGTGATGCACCGTGGCAGGCAAAAACGCTAGACTCAATCGATCTCCCTGGATCATGTTCAAGCTTCCTTTTATGTATATCACAATCGTATCATATCCGAACATATAGAGTGGTTTGGAATGCCGTTACTTTCTAAACAACGCCATGTTGCCCCTTAGCCCGGTATGGTATGGCATGCAGTGTTCCAAGCTTTCTACCTGCTGTCCAGACATAAAAACCGTGGCGCACATATCCTCTTCTCGGAAATACCTGCCATCTGTAGGCCCTGATATATCACGTTGCTTGCTCTCATTTCTCCTTTACAGTATAATAACATATGTTAGACCAACCCGTGGTCTTCGACGATGGCGTTTGTTGTGCATCTGCCAACCCGTCCGGTAGTCTTCCCAGCATCAATGGTGATATGGTATGGTTTCTCCGACGTTTGTTCTCTGTCATGCTGATCATTCCAAAGACGTCTCCTTCAAATCCACGGAGCTCAACAACAACATGCCTCAATCATGGGCTCGCGGTGCCATGTCCGAGCACAATACCAGGCCTCAAGTTAGTCTGCTCTGTTCTCTGCCTTGCACAGGAATAATCCGCGACTAGCCATGGTGGTCAGCCTGCCGCCTCATCTGGCCTGCGGACGTCAGACGCTCCATCGAGCAGCACTAGTTATGTCTACTGCGACTCCACACAGGAACAACTCTTAATGCAACCAATTTCCGGATTTGACCCTCTTACATACTGTGGCTCCTGGCGCGAGCCACCAACGCTTCACAATTACAGCTATGAGTATGACCCCGTGTTAGGAGGCACCTGTGCTCCTGCAATGGGGCATAAACACTGGCCTTCACACGCATCTAACACGTATGCCCTTCATTGTCATCATTTTTATCCTAATCACCCTCACACACAGGCGTTATTCAGATGTTTACCCTGAAATTCCTACCTCTGATTTTTGGCTGTATAACGAACCGTCGCATCAGTGGCAAAATTCACCTCGGCCAGGCCCTCTAAATGAACACCTTCCTCCGATGACACCTCCGCCTTTGGCTGCGGAAGGTTTGCAAATGAGAGTTTCATCACAGGCCTGTGCAAGTCACGGTGGAATTATATGTTACCCCTCAGATCACCCGCCCATTGCCAGCCAGCCATATTCGACCCCACTTCGTAGCCATTCGTCCCCCCTCCTATTTTCCTGCCGATGGCTATATGACGACGCACTCTGCAAATTCTTAGGGACGCTGGACGAGTTAAAGGCACATTGTAGAACCAATCATTTTTCTGGTCCCCCAGATGCGCAGATTGAATGCCTCTGGGAAGCTTGTACTTATCATAAGCGTGGCGACCACACAGTGCATGTCATGCGACGCGACTGCATATGGCGTCATACTTGCGAGGTTCATTTGGGGGTGAAGAGGGGTACCTAGACATGTCCGCCTGCCGTTGTATTTTTACCATCCTTGTACTGCACCGCCCACGCCATGCTACTACCATTATCTAAGTTGCTTTGTTGTTCTTGTTGATCATTCGTCATAGATCTGTTTAATAGTCTATCCTAGCCAGACCATATAAGGTCCCTTTTGTATCATTATGATTTCTTGCAGTGATTGGCATTATTGCTAGTACTACTATAATGAACGGACGAACGGGATTAAGACCAAAGGATACCCATCCAGGGCTCAGCAGTCTGCCACTAAACAAAGCCAGCGCGGCCCAGTCGAATTCCTCGACGAGGCTGTAATACGTTTACACTGCGTTTCTACTGCGGAATGGAATTGGCTGGAATAGCCCCTACGCAGCCTCCGCTCTGCGACTTGGCAGGAGGCTCCACAGGTACCATGAATGGCGACATGATCCAATTCTCTATACTTAGATACGGCTGCTCAGCTGCTAATATTGACCAGGCTCAACATCAGCAGTGACTTACATGCATCACTTTGTGAACATTTACTTGTTTGTCAGCATCTGTAAACTTTATCGCCACGAATTTGAACATATTTGCGTCCACGATAGGAATACCAACCAGGAGTTGCTCGGGCACCTTGACTACAGTGTTGGGTATGCTGTACAGTCACATGAAAAAAAACAAATAAGCAACGACGCCACCCCCGCATGAAATCAAGATCTTTCACATCATCAAACAATGCGATTATCCTACTTGCCTCATCTAGCACAAGTATGTATGCAACGTACAACAGCCCCAACTTCTTGTCCATCCGTCCAATCAACCAGATTTCCAGTAAGCAATATCTCCGTCCACCACTGTCATCCGTCAGTCAGCGGTAGTCGTAGGATATCGACGGGAAGAACCCACTCTCATAAGGCTTGCCTTGCTGTCTCAGTTTACCACCAGCCTTAACAGCAGCTTCGCTTCCGTGCTCCTTGAGGTCCTCATACGTCATGATTTCACCGCAAACAAACTTGTTCTCAAAGTCCGAGCTACATGACTGTGAGAAGGGGTAAAATAAATAAATAAAATCGGCACACTGGATAACGCCGGCCGCCTGAGGTGCCTTTGTCCCCTTGCGAATCGTCCATGCACGCACTTCATCAGGTCCACAGGTAAAGTAGCGGATCAGCTGTGATTAAAAACTCGGATCAATGAGCGATCAGCAACCAGGGGACGAGACCCACGTCAAGACTGGAGTATCCCGCCTGTGTTATTTTTCCGAGGGCGCTCTGTGCTCCTGGCTCCTTTTGAGCCTCGGCACGTTCATCGTCTGGAAGCTGCGCAAGACGCTCCTCCAGTGATACGGAAAATGGGATGAGGGGGTCGCCGGGGTTGTGCGCGTCAATCCAGCCCTTGATCTTCGCTAGCCTATGTGCGAGCATGAGCTGTGGTAACCAAGAGAGTTGGATAAAAACCGTACCACTTGTTCTTCTTGCGGATGTAGTCCTTCTCACTAAGATTGACGAGGTAAGTGATAGGCTTGGCGGTTAGTAGGGTAAGGCTGTTGACGACCTCGATCTACGAATAATCATGGGTATTAGTGTGCAGCAAGAGAGTAGAGAGTTGACGAGGTCAGAAGGTCGAAAAAATATCATTGAAAGATGGGGCGTTACTCCCGCCTCAAAGAGCTGGGTTAATCGAGCCGATGCTCTTTTTCATCGCTCAAAGATGATGGCGAGATATATTATTTACCTGTCGAACGATGGTCAATATGGTAAATGAAGACCGCAGATAAAAAAGAAGGAATCAGCGAAAATGTTATCTCAAAGGAATATTGGGGCGTTACTCCCTCCTCAACGAGCTGGGTTATCGAGCAAAAGCTCTTTTTCATCAAAAGCGATAACAAGAATGACATATTTACCTATATGATAACGGTCAGCACGGTGGACGGAAATTGCGGAAGACAAGGAACAAATCAGAAAAAATAGTTGTCTCAAAGGAATGTTAGGGCATTACTCCCTCCTCGATTCCAGCAAAGCTGTAGCGTCCCTTGAAAGCGATAATGAGAATAGGATATTTACCTGTAGGATGACGGTCAGCGTGATAGACAAAGATTACGACGGCAAGGAAGGAATCAGAAAGAAAAAAATTATCTCAAAGGAATAATGGGGCGTTACTCCCTCCTCAACGAGCTGGGTTATCGAGCAAATACTCTTTTTCATCACGGTACGAACCAAAGTGCTGACAAAAAAAAAATCCCAAGAACAAGACTTGCCTCTTTATTGTTCCACTCGCACTTCCTCACATCCTTGCCATCGACGGTAAGGGCCTTATAGATTTTCTCAACTGTTGCCTATAGCGTGAGTCCGCACCAGCTACACACCAAACAGTGTTTCCAGCGAGACGCACGATTTCTTCCTTCTTAGCCTTATCCGCCAAACTGTTGTTGCCAAGCGATCGACCAGTGCGCTTAAGGCCATCAAGGTGCTTCTCGACCCACTCAATATCTTTGAGACGAAGCTCTGTCTGGATGATCTCCATGTCACGGAGAGGGTCAACATCGCCCTCTACATGGATGACTTCGGCGTCATCGAAGGCACGGACCACCTGGAAGATACCATCGACAGCGCGGACATGAGACAAGAATGCATTTCCAAGTCCTGCACCTGTTGATGCACCCTGCAAATATGTCGGCGGAGAAATCAGGGTACATGGATCATGAACGTACCGCTGTAAGGCCTGCAATATCAATGCAGGTGAGGAAAGCAGGCACGCGCGAGGCGGGCTTGTACAGATCGCAAAGCCAATCAAAACGCACATCCGGCACGGGTATACGCGCTTCTTCTGGGTTGATTGTTGCGTATGGAAAGTTGGCAGCCTTTCCCAAATCTAAGTATTTTAAACTCGGATGCGTGACTACATAAGGACTATATCCGCACCGGTATCGGATAGAACATTAAAGAAAGATGACTTTCCAACATTCGGGAGACCTATACGAATGGTTATTGAGTCTGAATTCAATTGCAGGAGGATAAGCGCATACCGACGATACCGATCTTCAAGTTATTGCTGGGACGACCGAGCAAAACCTTTTTCTCTGCGGCAGCAGCCTTCTTGGGAGGCATTTTCTTCTTCTTAGCTTGGAGAGTGTGCGACGCAGAAAACGGCCGCAGAAAAATAAAACAAGACGCAGTAGATGGACGGGGAAGACGATGCAGGCAGAATTGCCGCCATCGATCTATCATCTCCCAAAAAAAAACTAGTCACGAGCTCTGCAAGAAAGAGAAAAATTCGGGGAAGTTGTCTCTTTATGGAACTCTCACGGCCGTAATATCAGGTGGTTTTCGGCAGGACATATCCTAATATGGAAGATGTCCTGCCGGTGGAAGTTATTATTATAAGCGTGGATACCTGAGGACTTTGGCATACCACGCTCGCAGCTCATAAGCTACCCAGACAACGACCACATCTTCCTCAAAAAACGCGATGAAGAGCATTGTACTAGCTGTAATCGCCTTGTGCGCGTCGTGGGCACATGCTCAGACATTGACCGTCACCAATATGTACGCTTATTAGCCCTTCTATACCGAGTTTCTGTCTGATTAATTACTGGAACAGTGCTGGCGCTACAGTCGTAGAAGTCGTTACAGTAAATCCCAACAACGGTCTTGCTACAACACAAACACTGTGGGTGAAATCGTCCTTTACAATTTAGCCTTGGCTCATGATGTCGGCGCTATTGAACAGGCAAACCGTTACCGGAGTCACTACGAACCCTTTGTCCACAAATACCCTCTCAACTGCTACCACAACTGGACCACTCCAAACTATAGCAACTACTACGACTACACAGAATCAAGGCCCTGTTGAACAACCCGGATCAACCGTCCTAGTACCAGGGGGACCTACCCCATACACCTATACCACTACAAATGCAGCTGGCTCTACCGTCGCTGTAATAGCAACCTTCACACCTACAGGTCCTGCCACTGTATTGCCAACCCCAACAACCACCGGCACAATTATCAACTACTCATCGTATCTGGCTTCAGCTGGGACGAGCGCAGTAGGAACATCTGGTGCAACCCGCCAAGCATTCTCGCTCTCTAGCGGTTGGTATGGACTCGTAGCAAGCACGATGCTAGGCATTGGCGGTGGTGCATGGTTCATAATGTTGTAAGGCGCACGTTACATACCGACGAGAGTCGAAGGACAGTTGATAGGACAGTCAATCTAGTAGATGAACTCTTTATGTGTGATAAACACAACAACTTTATGGTTGTGTTGCCTACATAAACACTCGTTACATGTTATCTCGGGTTACTTTAGTTACTCTGATGTCCCCTTCGTCTACGATCGACAACAGTACTTATTTACCTTGATACCACATCATATGCATCGATGGATTTTGACCTATACGTACGTACTGCATTCAGAAGCGGTGCCGGTGATCAAGCAGTAATAGAGTGACAAAGATTCTTGATATTATGAAGGATTGATGAAGGAACGCGCGACCGTCGGATCGACCTAGCATTGAAATCCTCGTGAAACAGCATTGACCACGTTCCATCATAATTTGACTCCGCGATATTCTGCTTGACGTCGTTGTGGTTCGTTGTGGACCTTTTGAAAGCAGGTCTTGCCAGTGTGATCGTCACTTTTTCCAAACTTTCTCTCATGTCCAATCAGTTGCAATCGCAGCAACAAGTATCACAACTTGAAGTCCAAGCTCAGGCAAATGCAGGTCAGGAAGTGCTCGCCGTCGCTTGTGTCATCGATGCCTCTCTAGCGCTCGCTACAGAATGGAACCGTGTGTTCACAGCGTACATCCTACCTATTCTCAAGCGTCTGAATGAAGCATACAGCGGGCATAATGTGCGTTTTACCTGGACCATTCTTCTGTCAAGTAACATGCTGAGTGTAGGCGATGTGTTTAGTTCCGACTAGCTTTAGTGACGTATGGCGCTGCGGATACATATCCCAATCCGCTGCTATCAAAACGTTTCTTTCTCTCCCCGAATTCCGTGATGAAGGAATTGCGCGAGGATCCCTGGAAGCTGGGAATTGGCTCCGTGATCGGTGTAAGGGGGCTATCCGCCCTGGAAGGAATGGTTGCTGCTATCGAGGTGTGTACTACCGTGTCTCGACCCACTTCTCACTCTGAGCTGTGATGGAAGTTCTTTGACATCTTGCATAACACGCTCGCCTTGGCTGGTCCGAAGGATGGTCGAATACACGTATCACATATAATACATATCGCTGGAAGTCCACCCGATTCTGCGCAAAGGCCCGCATGGAATACCCTTCCGCATCTCGACTCAGTATCATGGGACACGCTACCAGTAGAACTCAAGAAGGTTAGCACCCTTGGATCAACTTTTCGCATTAATTTGACCATGCCTCACAGAGAAAAATCAATTTGAGTCTTGTCACACTACAACAAATACAACAGTTCCAGGATGTTCAGTCTGCTGTCAGTTCACATCTGTGTCCATCGCGTTGTCATTGAAAACTCTTCTCCCTCAGACCTCAATACCAACTCCACAAACCAATCCCTGGTTCACTGTCTACGCACCGCATATACTCATGCTTTCTGGATTTCCCCCACTATCGCATGTGCAAACCCCAAAACTCAGTGAGCTTTCGCGGACAACCTCCCTCCCATTCCCGCGCTCACAAATTCCAGACGCTGCCAAGCGTTCAAACGAGTCTCCTCAAACACCGGATACTAAACGTCAGAGGGTCAGCGAGAAAAGCTCACCAGCACTTAGCCCGCGTCCTCCTGGGGGAGGCGCCGGTCCAGCAGGCCAGAGACCACCTTCTCGACAGGTTCCTACACCTTCTGTCCCACCTTCTGCCCTACCTCCTCAAACACATCCGCAATTGCTCCAGCCTTCCCCCATACCGCCGCACGCAACCACGACACCTACACCTAGCCCTGCAAAACCCTCTACAGCACCCGTCACACACCCACCCTCCAATGCTCCCCTCACGCAGCACACATCCCACCCTCACGTCAACATAATAGTCGAGCGTGGTAAAGCTCTCGAAGTCGAGATTAAAGCTCTCACAGCCTAAAATACAGGAAGCACAATCTGCCGGGAATGTTGTAGATGTCGAGTCGCTTAAGACGGATCGCATGACGAAATATCAGCAGGCGATGAAGATCAAGGCTTTTTTGTACCAAATGGTGAATAGGCCTGCGATAAGTGGTTCGAATTTAGGTGCAGGAGGGTCGGGAGAAACGCCTCAGTCTCAGCCTCAGCCTCAATTGGCGGCGAGCAACAATAAGTCGGAGGATGCAGCACCGCCAACGGTGTCTGTGTCGGTATCTGCGCCTATGGAGGAGCAGAAGCCGCCAGTCACAGATCAGAAGCCACCGCTGACAGATCAGCAGGCGCTAATGCATGTCATGCAGGCGCGTTCGGGAACAACAGGATTCCCGAGTCCAGAGCTCGCTGCGCAAATGCATAAGTTACTCAACAAGACTGGTATTCAGGGACCAACCTTTTCCGGTTCACCTAAGCCCCGACCAGCCCATCCGCCTGCCTCTGGATCTAATTCTCAACATCAGTCTCAGCCCCAGGCCTCGACCTCGGCAACCTCAGGAAGGCCAATGCAATGGGAAGGCTCTTTCACCTTCACTATACAGCATGCTGGACAACCGAAGGGGTTCGAAGTGCAGGTGGCTGCCGTCAATTACAAGGGTCAACTGTATGTCATCGGACAGTTTCTATGATCTAGTACTGATTCCTTGTGCAGTCACACGGAAACATGGCCTGAGAGAATGTTCATTAATATATCACCAGAAGGACTGAAGGATCCCTCAGAGTTGGGGTCATGGCTTCGGAAACACAACCAATCTGCTGTGATGGTCCAGTTCAAGCCCCAAGCACGGAACTTTGAACAGAAAATGAATGACATGGTTCATCATGTGTTGATGAAGACTATGATGGAAGCACGAACAGCGAGTGTTCCGTCCATTCTCACTTCCTGTTGTTCTCACTGACATTCTTTGATATTTAGTTTGGCAAAGTGGCATGGCAACTTCCTTCTGGTCCTATGTCACACAATATGATCGTGTTTCCGATGAATAACGTGCTAGTAGGCGCAGTGTTTCCTCTTACTGGACTTCCAGATCTGCCAGGCTCTAGCAAAGTCGACGCCCCAAAACCGCAAATGCAAATGCAGCCCCAACCACAACCGCAACTGCAACAACAACTGCAACAACAACCACAGCTACAACCCCCAGGCGTGCTCACCCCTGAGATGCTGACACGACTTCAGGGTCTTGACCCGCAGCAGCAAAGGCACTTCATGCAACAACTCGCACTACAACAGCAGGTCCGGCAGCGACAACGACAAATACAGCAGCAGCAGCACCAACAACAGCAACTACAGACGGGGGCAATGCAGCAGGAGGTACAAGCACCAGCACCTGGTGTGGGAATGCAGAACATGAGTCCGTTTTCGAATGGAGCGAATCTGCCAATGAATATGTTTGTGAGTTGTTCTATGGTACGCGTGCGTGTGGATATGTTAATCATTCGATATGAATAGGGTGGTGGCGGAGTACCGCAAAGGCAAATCAGTGGGGGCATGCATCTTGGCGGTGTGGGGACGGTGAACAGTGAGATGATGCAGTCGTTTATGCAGCGGAATGCGAACGGACAAGGAATGAACCCTTCGTGATTGATCGAGACCGTTCCGCTTTCTTTCTCGGCTTTGGAGCCTGGTTCTTCAAGGCGTTGTTTTTACCTTGAGAGCAATATGGATGGATTTACTGTGAATGTAGGCGACGTCAAGCACGGTTTCAGAATTTTACTTTGATTGTTATGCTCTACTATACATCATACGCACTTGCATGCTATCTTGTACACATTCCAAGAACTTTACTGTTTTATCGCATTGTAATTATGGTATAGGGATTCTGCATTTTATTAGGATGGCGTTGTACTGAAGTTACCGTCTGTTCCCTGAATCCTGTCGTGGTCGGCAAGATTAGCCTGAGTTTCATAGACAGTGATGACTGGATCGCTCTTGCGCTAAGGGAATGAATGAGTCTTGAGAATCGAAAGTAGTGGTTCAGGAACTGGCATACCTCAGTCCAATGACCAAGGAGACCGACATAATAAATCCTTGTCATGTCTGCACCCTGCGCGGCGGGGAAGAATAACGTCAGGGAAGAAACGTTGTTGAACTTTGCCGTCCTAAAGAGTTGATGTCAACATGACTTTCGCAGAGAAACAGAATAAATGTACTTGACAGCGTACTCCGCAACATTCCTGTCCTGAGGGATATCGAATTCTTGAACAGGCGCCTTGTCGGAAACGTCGTTGAAATCCATGCTAGGCTGATTGGAAAACTACACGTGGGCCGTGAACAACATGTCGATAAGTAGGGATTCAGACCAACCAGAGCGACTTTCGCTGGGGTCTGGTCACCCGGACCAGTCTTCAATAGTAAGGACCGAAGCTTAACGGATCCGGTGAAAGGGATACGTATAATTCTCAATAGAATATTATTTGAGCTGCATAATGTCGAGATCTCGATTCAGCGAGACCTTACAGCTGATCGTCGGCATCCGACTCCAGAAACTAGGAATGATTTTAAGGTGATCAATTCCTGAAACATAAGCATATGTGTAAAAAAACGTGGCATACAGCTTCCTCATTATTCCTCTGATTCCAGGGTTTAACGACGACTGAACCTTCTCTTGTGGCGTTGAGTGCGACGACGTTGGCACGGTCGATGTGCGAGAACAGATTGTCATTTGGGCCAAGGTCGCTGGTTCCATGATCATGATCATGATCGTTGTCGTTGCTCTCGTGGCTGCAGTGCCCGTCGTGATGATTGTGCGGCATGATGGATAGACAATGTCTTGAAACAAGTGGTCATTGATCTCCTACATATTGGCTACGTAATAAGACCAAATAAACACAAGCAATGCTGCTACTTGTAGACTTTGAGTCAGCGTCGCTTTCCTTTGTTCATTTTCTTTCTCATCCTCTGCTGACGTGGACGTGAACGTATGGCAGCTGGTAGGTTTTCAGTCTATCACCTTTTTTTCATGATGTTACCAGTAATTTGCGTTCGATTCACTCGTCTTACACCAAAAGGTTCGCTCGCCCGCCAGCCCTGAGACGAGTGGGCTGAGACAACTTCTGCAGCCTCTGATCTTTCATTCTTTTTCATTGAGAGATCTTTTATGAATACTGACCTTCTTTCCATTCACAGGTCCTTCATAAAACTTTTCTGGCGTGTTTGTAGATTGTAAGACAGTGAAACATTTATTTATTGTTGTACAATGTACCAATACAGATCTTCCTTCTGATCAGTCATCTGCTACTTTGAACCCAACGACCAAGAGCCCATGGCTGAGAATTCACAATCATCTACGCCTGCGCAAGGTAGTGGGACACCTACCCGAGGTTCCAGCAATGCAGGTGACGTCCCTGTGGCCGAGTTTAAGGTGTATAAGCCTCCAACATCAACGACCAGCACTCTTTGTGGGTTGCCACGTTTCGGGATAGTGCCACGTAGCTAACTGTAAAGTTTTACAGTAGAAGAACTGCCAGACTCCTACTTCATCCTATCTCCTGCTGACCTGAAGGCTGCTCAAGCAACATTAAGCGCTCGGACACGATCATTAGTTGATGCCCCACTACAAGTACGAGCTCAGCGAGAGGCAGCAGAGAAGTCAAAAAGAGATCGATGGCCAAATGTACGTCTCTTAAGTCCCAAGTCACTTAAGCCTGGGCTAAATACATGCAGACAACGATACGTGTCAGATTCTCTGATCGAACACAACTGGAGAAGACATTTCCCTCTACGGACAAAATTCGCTCTGTGTACGCATTTGTGCGGTCGTCCCTCCGAGATGATGTCAAGTCTATCAAGTTCATCCTATGTTCGTGCGTTTGCCGCTTGAGATAGATCAGGCTTTGACATCATTCGTAGATCAATCTCCTCCCAAGCGCGACTTGAAGGTATCTGACCCAGATGTTCGTGATTTAAGCTTGGTACAACTCCAGCTTGCTCCATCATCGATACTCCTTCTGCGTTTCGAAGATGAGTCTTTGAATGGTAGGTCCATCTGTGGTGAAGTCGTGCGCTGCTCCTCACGAAGCTCACAGGCACGAATGTCCCTGCACCCCTCTTGCCATCCATTGCGGCAAGCGCGGTCGAGTTACCGAAACTCCCCAGTGTTGATGCCGAACCTCCCAAGGTGGAGAAGTCTGCTACACCTCCCACAACGTCGAGCACAAGTACCGAGAAGAAGATACCTAAGTGGCTGAAGGCAGGTCTAAGTAAGTGGATTGCCTTGTTGGTTTGTCCTTTCTCATATTCATTTCTAGGAAAGTGAAAGGAAGAGCAAACACGTGTATTATCTTGAATCTCAATTCGAGGTCCACCCACATAGTTACCAGCTTCTACTATATATCATCGTATGAAAGAGCCACAAGTGTAATTTACCTCAATATACAGGAAATGATGGATCTATCTCATTTGACCACGCACGTAAGCCTCCCACAACATCTTTTACAATCAGATTGGAGTCGATTACCCTGATAGCGTCCGCAGCAATTTGAGAGTCGTTGCCTAATCTGCACAGAACAAACACCTGGCAGGACTTGTCTGAGGGAAGATAAGGCGCTGGGTTAGCCAGTAGGATATTGAGCGGGACACCTGAATACGCTGGTGAGATGACTGCACCTCTAGCTTGGAAATTACTTACTCGTAGACCTCGAAAGACGACATATACCAAATTCAGTTCTCGGCCGCACATCGATGATGGTATGATTTACGTTTGATTCGAAGACGGATTTTAGTTCTTTGACGCATATCCGCGATTCAGGCCTGCTAACTTCGAGCCCACGCTCTAACCAATCCGGCCGTGCGCCACCACAAAATGCCACATAATCTGTTTCTTCGATGGCGCCAATCTTCTGGCCCTCGATCCCACACGCAGCGCAGGTAGGCTTCCTTGATCTCAGCTTCACGGTACGAAACGGAGGGACAGACAAAGCGTTAAAAAGCAATAAAGAAGCTTTGCCATCTTGCTGATCTTTCAGAAACTATAAGTCCTGCAACAGCTGGTACAACTCACCGTGGAGACCAGTGATGAGTTTTATTGCTTCAAGTGCCTGTAGATTTCCAATGATCCCTGTCACGGCGCCTAGTATACCTGTCTCCTCGCACGATCCTGCCATCTCTGGCGCAGGTGGCTTCGGAAATATACAGCGATAGCAGGGTCCATCATCGCCCAGATTGTATATGCAAAGCTGGCCATCGAATTTCTGGGCGGCGCCACTGACGAGAGGCTTTCTAAGCCTGACGGCGCTATCAGAAAGGAGGTAGCGTGTGGGGGCATTGTCTGTGCAGTCGAGAATCACATCATACGGGGCAAGAATAGAAAGAGCGTTGGATGAATCGAGAGCAGTGGGACATACGTCGATATTGACGCGTGGATTCAGAGCAGCGATGGCCCGGGCTGCAGATACGGCTTTCGGGCTGCCGATCGTTTTATCCGTGTGAAGGATCTGGCGTTGGAGATTGGACAGTTCGACTGTATCATGGTCGATTATACCTAGGCGACCTATCTAGCAAACGTGAGTTCCTCCGGGTTGTTTGAAAGGCAGGCCTACGTACCTACGCCGGCTGCAGCGAGATATTGTAACGCGGGGCAACCAAGCCCTCCTGCTCCAATGACTACGACAGATGAGTTCTGTAGTTTCAGCTGACCTGTTGGGTAGTTTGCATCAAATTGCATGAGCGGTTGCAGATGAATCCAGATTTTGGCGCACCTTCCAAGCCAAAGCCATCAAGTACCATCTGTCTGCCATACCTTTGGTAGTCATCTAAATGTGACAGTTGTGGAAGATCATTGTCGACCATTGCCATATGGCGCTTTTAGAAACTCAGAGAATGAAAGCGGTGATGGGTGGCACTAGGTAGCACTAGTACTGTGATCTGAAAGTCGATAGTGTCGTTACTCGTAGGATCATGAAAGCAACTTCATTAATTAAAAATTGAAGCAAATTGAAGCAGGCTTGTAGTTACGTAAGAAAAGGTGCTTGAACTTGCCTTTGACGACCGTCAGAGGCTACGAGTCCCCTCAGACTTGACGTTGTACTATATATGGCATGTACAGTAGCCCTGCGCTTTCTTTTTGTACATACTTGAACGTTTAACACCCTCAAATGTCTCGACTCCCATATTGCAGGCAAGCCTATAGCATCGCATTTGCATCTTCCATCAGCGCTGAGCACTGATAATCAGGTTGACTTGACATTTCTATCAGCACGGCGCAATCAGTCTATTCTGGTCTCCCCAGTACAGCTCTAGCCTGAGACTATACGAAGGAACATGGTCGCTCCTTCATGTAGTATCTAATGTGAGCATGCTCCTTATTGCTTTGGTTGCGCATGACAGTACTACTACTGTCTCGACTTCTGCAAAGGCCTCATGAGACCTCTCGTACACCGAAGCGACGCCAAAAGACCGGTGCACGGTTGCCAAATTGTATGATGATCAGACAAGCCGTGGAGCTAACTCTTTTCGTCAATAACGTTTTTGAATCTCGTATCGCATCCAACAACGATTTGCACATAGCTTTTCAGTCTCTGCTTCCCCTGAGCTTTCATATGACTTTATTTCGAGACTGGGCCCAGCTGCTGGTAGGGAAATTCCTGTCAGTTCTCCTCAACGCCGATGGCATACAGTCGAACTCGAACAAAATTCACTTTCTGCAAAAGGCCTTCCAGCTAGAGTTGTCACCGTATCTGATTACTGCAGGACATGCTGATATGCTCAAGCTTTGGATGGGAGTTCCTGGTCGTCATCGTTTTATTTAGGGTGCTATGCTATGACGCAGTTTATTGGCGCCCCCTTACACAGGCAGTAAGCCTAGCCCTCACTGACGCGATCGTAAACCCATTGATATTTTTTTCATCAGTTCCAACGTGCAAAGTACATTAGGGTCAGCTGGACTTTCCGCAGCAAACTTCTATACCGAACACTGTACATTTCAACGGTGCATCCTATAATGTATCCACTGATGCAGGATCACCTTTCTTGGTTGCGATCGGATCTCAAGTTATCTGACTCAGGTGATATACTTCCAAATAACGGTCGGTATAACGGATCGGGACCGAGCATCGCAATCGGCACCAATTTTGTTGGGTTATTTATTCCGGTTCTCAAGAAAAAGAGGAGCACAAGACTGGGACAACATATACAGTGTATCAGCAAGGCCTTACCGTGAATGTGACTTGTCAGCGAACTATATTCAAGGACAGTACAATCCTGTCATGCTGGGATTACACTTACGAAGCAATACCTGCTAACGTGTCTATACCAGGTACCGGCTCGGTGCGAGTCGAGGCGGTTGGATGGACCTATCAGTAACTAACATACTCGCTAGCTTTGGGCCCAACGACTTTTATCGCACTGCTGCCGGTTGCGCTAGTGAGGATTGGCTTGAGCCCGCGAGGATCTGAGGAAACGATCGATAGCGGGCTCGGTCTACCCACAGACTTCGACGTCACTGATTCTCTGACCTCATGATGGCATCATCTGCAGGGACACTCCCAGGTGTTTTCAAGGGATCTAATAGCGCCGAGCCGGTGACAAACAAAGATGTCAAGGTTCGCCTGCAAGCTGTCGGTGGGGGAAGAACGGTGTTCGTGATCCGCAGCGGCCGACTTGGGAACGAAAAGGAGAAAGAAGAGGTTGGTATTTGATTAGGGTGTGGATACGTTTCCTAGGTGTTCTTATTATAATATGTTGTAGTTTTAGTTCTGTTCGAGAGAGCGACAGTAATCCGTCTAGCAGGGTGATCTACTGGTAATCAATTCCGTTCTTGCGAGCAACTTTGGACACGCAGGTGCGAGCCTCGTTCAAGACTTTCAACTGAGCTGTGCCGGCTTTTTCAATGACGGGCTTCTCACTATTAACTTCATAATCTAGGAGGATTGCATCATTTTTTGGTGTCAACATAGAAAACTATGACATGAGAGTCAACGACGAACAATCGATAAGGGTCCAACATAGCAATACAGCTAGCAATGATACAGCAATAATACATGAAGGGGTGAGCTCGCCTACGTGACCCTCTTCATTCTTAAGTGAATTTCTGATACGTGACGGTACATGCAGTCCCTGCGCATAGAGCGCACTAAAGGTTTGGAACGTTTTGTATAACTACAAGCCATCCCACCGGCATTGTACTTGGCGCGTGGGGGGCCTGGAATGATATGTGTTTTGAAGTGCGCTTTTAGCGCCTGCCGCGCTCCTTTCCATTCGCAGATTCGGTGTGTGTCTTCCTGTATCCATTGGCAGGATAGGAGGGGTGACAAGGGATGGCTATGAGCCGGGAGGAAATATGGGTGGTGGGTGGATGGAGGGTGATGGATATATTCTGCAGCCAAATGCGGAGGCATATTAGGTGAGAGCAGGCCTGCTCGAAGGAGGGATGGCGGAAATCCGCCACTCATATGATGGCTTCGTTACTGGACATGGTAGAATTGGTGGAATGCGAATGGTGGACTCGGACGTCCGGCCACCTGCGTATAAAGGTGATTATGAGAAGATCAAATCATAGGGTGCGAAGGACATACTCCCACGACACAGGGTCGTAGTGCTGAGTACTATCAGTATGAAGGGTCACCGGGTTACCATGACTATGCTGCTGGCAGGAGCCTGAGTTCAAGACATGTGTACTAGACATAAAGTTGGCACGGGTGGTGGATGGGCTGGTGGAGACTGTCGAGATCGAAAACTTCCCGGTTGGCCGGCAAGAACTGGTCTAGCATTCGAAGAGCAAGCGCGTGTTATAGATGCAGGAATTCATAGGGATATGCCCATAATTTTATATGCCCATCCGGACAGCGGGCAGTGCAGACATGAAGCTTTAAGCAAGCAGAACACATGCCTCACCATTGGCAGACCAAGGGGCAGCACTTACATGGTTGATCAGATAGATTCGGTAACCCATTATCTGAAACAGCAGATAGGCAGCATAAGAATATGCAATTTCTGTAATGGTTGCCACATGGCTTGAAGGCGAACGAAAGTTTAGGTAAGTGCAACAGGCACAAATTTGCGGTGGAGAGGGTCACCGAAGGTGGAGGCACTGCCTGATCAATCTCGGGGAATCATTTAGATTTTATTTCAATTGAATGTACACCAGACCTAGTTCGGTTGATAAGCAGTACTTGGTAGCGAGGCAGTCGTAACCAAGATCTTCTCTTATTAACAGGCTGAGTATTAGCGTTGTGACATAGAGCCTGATGAGCAACTTGAATCAGACTAGTACTGCTAAGCGCAGTAGCGGAGAGTACAAGTTGAAATAACAAACCGAATAGTGCCTACACATACACCTATTTTTTGCACTCCGAGTCTGTGGCTCAGAACCTTAATTCCAAGAATTAGGACTCAGATGGTCAAAAAGAAGCAAAATACAAGGAACCTGTTGCTTGCATCATGTAAATATTACATATTATGTAGTAGAAATGAAACTGAAATTCTACTTCAAGTTACTTCCTGAACCTCATGCCCTTGCTTGCATGTAATTGACAAATACTGAAAATAAAAACTATAATTGGGATCTCTATCCAGGGTTGACATGTAATGGGAACACCCAGAACTCTGCCATCAGCTTCCCACCATGCTTCCTCTCACCCTCCATGCATGTTGTTGACACAAAGTAATTGACACCAACACCCAAAATGTCCTTCCTCCCATGTAAGTGAGATGAAGAACATCTAAAACATAAATGGTTTTGGGGTGTTTATCATGTCAATTACATGCAAGGAAGGGCACATCAGCACTCACCTTGACTTATAGTTTCACACAGGGTAACTCATGTCCAACATGTATTCATCAAGGGCATCAACCTCAAGTTGAATTGTTGGGGAAGAGTGACTCCATCCAGTTGTGAAGAGACTTGCTAGACAATCTCTAAGTTTACAGATAACTTTGGTTGTTGTGTGCTGGCAAAAAATTTGGTAAGTGATATCTGAAAGCATTATAATTACTCTGAATGACGAGTCTTTCAAGTTTATCTTCGAATCTCTCATCTAGGATCCTTTCAGCTACAATGAACACCACAGACTTAGACACCTGCTGTGTCACCATCAGCCAAATCACTGGCAGTTGATCCTTAGTATTTCGGTCCTGTGATTATTGTTCAAATATTGACCAGACAAATCGATAACTTTGAAATGCAGCTTGAGACGGTGACAGTAACATCCATGGCTGAAGTTGAAACGAGTGATTTTATCATCAAGCATCACCCCCGACTACTACAATCCATTTCGGTCCCAGCGCCCCCCACGATGGCTCCTCAAACCTGCGGGTTGACTTCAGCACCTCTGTCCCTCCCACTCCTCTCCCAATGTCATCGCCAAGTACAAAAAATGCAAGTTGTTGAACCAGTCGCTGTTGTCGTTTGGCGACGGAATCAACGCGGAGAGTAGCGGGAACTGAAGAGCCAGTTACAACTGGGGAATCACTAGAGACTCGCTGACAGATGATGGATGCTAAGTTGTGACCCAAGCCGTACGATGGAACAGGACAACTCTAGTTGGGTCATTACCATTGAGCGATCGCCGATGATTATCCCGAGAGACAACGTACTACGAGCATGGAATTAAAGGACCATAGTTTAAGCTGGAACGCTGGATGCTTGAGGCTGGATCAGTTATGAGAACGGCTCGAGCTCTGAATGATGGATGGACTCTTGTCTGATGATTCTGATTGCAGCCTGCAGGACTCGAGCCTGGATTGAGTTGTATTGCAGGCCAAACAAATTTAGAATGATGATGGTCCTGACGAAGCCCTAAACGCGCCAGCGCCAATAGGCTTGGCGCGATACTTTGTAACTTGGTTGTGACTGTTCAGTTTACGCTTTCGAGCCTCATCTGCTGTGTAATTAGTACTGCACCTTGCCTTCGATGGATGAAGCTGAAACAAGTAACATATTCTATGTCCCAGCATCCAATCTTCCAAATATTACACCTCCCGACTCTTATAATCCTTTTCGGTCTCAGCCCGTCCCTCTCATCATAGACAATGGCTCGTCAAACCTGCGTTTTGGCTTCAGCACGTCCACCTCTCCCCACTCTTCTCCTAATGTTATTGCCAAGTACAAGGAGCGCAAGTTCAACCAGTCGCTGTTACTCTTTGGTGACGCAATTGACGCAGAGAGTGGTGCGAAGAGCCAGGGCAAGACACCTTGGGAAAGTGATGTGTTGTTGAATTTCGATGCAATGGTGGGTTTCCTACATCCTTAATCTGTGTGGGTGGCGCTGAGGATGGGTGAGGTAGGAAAACGCGTTGGACTACGCGTTTGTGAGGCTGGGAATCGATGCAGAGGGCATCGAGCACCCGGTGCTCATGACGGAAAGACTCTGCTCGCCATTACATTCGAGAGCATGTGCGTACTTGAGCTCCTCATATTGTCTGTCTCACGGAGTGAAATGCATAGTGACCTCCGAGCTCATGTTTGAGCAATATTCGGTCCCTTCACTCACTTACTGCGTCGATTCTGTGATGTCGTTTTATCAAAACAACAAACCTACATCCGGCAGTACATTCAGTGCTGATGGCCTTGTAGTTTCATTCAACACGGCATCCACATCTGTTATCCCCATTCTCAACGGGAAAGGCGTACTCAGTCATGCAAAACGGTCCGTATTCCTTGAGTTGAGAGAATCATGTGTTGATCGTACTCGGCAGAATACCATGGGGTACACAGCAATCTACGGAATATCTCCTGAAGCTTATCCAGCTGAAATACTCTAGCTTCCCAACGCGCGTGACGTCTGCACAGGCAAGCGTACGTCCATACGCTGTCTTAAATAGTTCCATAGTTATTAACCTCCCGTAGTGGATGCTGCACAATTTCTGCTCCTTCGCCACTGACTACCCTGCTGTCCTCCGTTCCCTCAAAATGCCCGCAAGCATGCGCGCAGCAGAGCGCATCATCCAGTTCCCATTTGCAATTCCTGTCGTTGAAGAAAAGACCGAAGAGGAGATCACGAGGATAGCAGAGAAACGAAAAGAACAAGGAAAAAAACTACAGGAGTTGGCTGCGAAGAGCCGGATGGAGAAGGTGTGCCCCTTGTTCTCGCGACGAAAAATGAGGGTTTGATTAAGCTAATGATTTTTTAGTTGGCGAAGAAGGAGAACGATCTACAGTACCTTACGAATCTGAAGGAAGGCAAGAGCGAAAACAAGCGCGAGTGGATGGTGTGGCGAACATAGCATCTCACTAGGCATGCTGCTTAATTTCCCTACAGCACACTCTTCAAGTTGAGGGCTTTGATGACGAAGCTGCCCTCGATGAAACCATCAAGAAACTCGAGGCTGACGTTAAACGCGCACGCAAGAAGGACCCTGATGGGCAAGACGATGTCATTGTAAGCATCGTGTATCATTGCCGATTACTCTCTTTTGACTCGTGACTACAGGAGGAACCTTCGTTCCCTCTCATTGATGTTCCGGATGCGGACGTAAGTCTCGCGTTGATTCAAAGTGATGCAATATTGAGTTTCCCGTTCCACAGCTCGACGAAGAAGGGATAAAAGAAAAGAAGAAGCAGAAACTTATGAAGGCTGGTTTTGACGCAAGAGCGCGTGCGAGACGAGAGAAGGAGAAGGAACGAGAGGAGAAGGAAGCCGAGGAGAGACGAGAGGAGGAAGAGCGGGAGAGTAACTTTGACGATTGGGCAGCTAGACTGCGCCGTGAGCAAGAGGTGTGGTACTTGCTGTCTGCCTGCTTAGATGCTCTTGCTGACCTTTCCGAGCAATAGGCTATCATGAACAAGATCAAGGAGCGGGGACGTCGAAAGGCTGCGTTGTCTGATCGGAAAAGTGCAGCCGCGCAAGCTAGGATGAAGAACATTGCTTCTTTGGCAGCCGATGAACGCGTTTCGAAGAAGAAAAGGAAAGCGGGTGCAGGCAAGTTTCACAATTCTTCTAATCAATTTATTGTTCTCAACACTTGTAATTCAGAGGACATGTTCGGAGCAGATGACGAGGACTGGCAGATTTATCGTAAACTCGTACGTCGTACTTGCTTCCCAAGCGAATCATTCAATCTGACATCATACAACAGAATGCTGCGGCTGTATCTTCGGATGAGGAAGAGGAATTCAACCAACTTCGGATCATCGAGAGCAAGCTTCTCATGCATGACCCAACATTCACGGCCCAGCACACGCATGCATCCATAACATCTCAGCGGTCTGCACTTATATCTGCCTTCAGACCACAGTATGAAGAGGGAGATATCGAAGGTTGTACTCACTCCATCTCTTGAATGAATGAATGCTTACAGGGACCACCAACAGGAAGCGCACGGATACATCTCAACACGGAACGATGGCGCGTATGCGAAACATTCTTCTCACCAGGAATGGCTGGCGTTGACTCCGCTGGCCTCGGTGAAGTTCTTCAAAGCATTCTGGCAAGGTTCTCAGAAGCCGAGAAAGCTAGGCTTGTGAAGGTCTGTTTTGTGTTTCTCAAACGTTCTAGTCCAACTCATCCAAAACACAGAATGTATTCATTACCGGGGGTCCATCGCAGTTTCCTGGTCTTCAAGAAAGACTTCATGGGACGCTTCGTCCGATTTTGCCGCCTGAGATGTACTTGGGTGATATCGTGCGTGCAGCAAACCCATCGCTTGATGCTTGGAGGGGTATGGCATCTTTTGCAAATACGGATGAGTTCCATCAAGTGGGTGTGACAGCAGAAGAGTATCAGGAGTGGGGAGGGGAGAGGATTAAGAGGTGGTGGGGAGGGAACTGTAACTCGGTGGTTTGATAGTGTCGTTTGTTCCATTGCACCTCAGGGATATATGAGACGACGCTCGCGGGGCGTGAAGGTGAATTCTTTTTCATGGACAGACTATCATATAAAAAGGAGGTTTCGGCGCAATGGCTGGGCCTAGTTAAGATGAACGTCTGAGGCCTGAGGATTTATAGACCACAAAAATGTTGTCAGAAGGTTTCGAACCAACTTCAAGAGAAACAGATTTTGACTCTGTTGGGGTAACCACTTGGATCATAGCAGTTAGATGGACTCTGAGGAAACTCATCCATGAGTGAATGTCGAAGTGTGTTCCGATAGAAAAAACCTTGTTGACGCGGCAGGTTTCGATCTTGCGCAGACCAAGAGAAACAGACTTTGATTCTGTTTAACTAAGAGGAAAGCGTCCATGAGTCAATGTCAAAGGATGTTCTGATAGAAAACAAAAGTTTACTGTCGTTCGACAGGTTTCGAACCTGCAGTCCAAGAGAAACAGATTATGATTTTATTGTCTTAACCACCTGACTAAGACCAGTGAGATAGGCCTTCGAAGAAAGCCTCCACGAGTGAATGTCAAGGTGTGCTCTACAAAAGTTTACTGTCATTCACCAGGTTTCGAACCTGTGCAATCCAAGAGAAACAGATTTTAATTCTGTTATGGTAACCACTTGGCAAGACCAGTTAATAAACCATCCATGAGTGAATGTCAAGGCATGCTTTGATACAAAAACATCCTGTCGTCGGCAGGTTTCAAATCTGCGCAGTCCAAGAGAAACAGATTTTGACTCTGTCGGTGTAACCACTTTGGCCAGGACGCTTGCCAAGTTGAGATAAGAGGGGAAATCACCTACCGGCAGGTTTCGAATTCGCACAATCCAAGACAGCAGCTTTTTGGTGCCAGTTGGTTGGCTATGGCCCTTGAAAAGTCTATCCATGAGTGAATATTCAAGGCGTGGTAAAAGGAAAAAGGTTGTTGAGCAGGTTTCGAACCTGCCACAGATTTACAAAAGGAACAAGCGAGTCGCGACTGGGAGGCTAGCGCCGGCGCCGTCACGATTGTTATAGAAAGCGATGATATAAAGACTGTAATTAAACTAGCCTGTGAAATGAATATCAGTTCAAGGGGGACGCCCGAGAGATCTAAGCGTACGATAAATCTACGCATCATAAATGAGATGATTGGTGCGGAAACACACGTTCATTGACGTCACTGAGTCCCAAGAGCTCGTGCCCGTACCTCCCATGCCAATCCATGACGCCAGCTGCAAGGCGACCAATACCATCTCCTACTACTAAGTCCCAATCGCTGACCCCGTTCGTTCATACCGCTTAGTCAAAAGACCTCATGCTTCTAGTAAGCAGGGGCACGTCACGGTGTACGTGTGCATCATGATCACTGTGGTGGAATAGAAAGTTATTTCTGGGTCTTGTAATTCTTTTCACAACTAATACAGGTTGGAATATCCATGGGGCAGTGATAGTCGAGTCTGCGATGAAAACTTGAGAATATAAAGGACGGGGACATGTTTGATGCGCTAATGAGTCGAGGCTCCGGACTTTCTGCAGTGACAAGATCAGAACACGACAGACAGGAAATGAACTTATCTCTGTGAGCAGTTATCCTTGTGAAGAGAAAAAGTTGGCTCCATCTGTTCAAGGTGTAGTAGTCGCTAATTTAGTCAAGTAATAAATCCTAGAGTTCGCGGACATACTCGAACTCTAGGATCCATTAGCCATGAGATGAGAGGGCGACATCTTGCATGTGTCGTGTGACATGTTGGTCGTTGAACGGAATTATTATAACATATCATTGGGGAACGCACCAACTTGATTATCTGAACTTAAGTAATTACTGAAGTGACCTAAACCTGGGACTAGTCACTGCTACATACACTTCAGTGCTGGACGTCGACAATGGCCACTACTAACATTACCACGACCACAACTGCAGGACCGTCTACAGTAACAGCAGTCGTACAAAATGGTCCACCAATCCCAAAGGATGGCCTCCCTCTCATGCACTCAGGTTCGCTCTAGTTCTTTGATAGTGCTCGAACTAGCCTGTGAGTTAGTAGTGCTCACCCAGCTTCCTGCAGCTCGCACGCCTCCCGTACTACCATGGCCAGATATTGGACACCTTGCCAAGTGGTCTGTTTCTTCATACAAATTTGGGTTTGGTGCAGAGTGCCTTAGAGATGGGGATCCTGATACGTTCTGGCAGTGAGTATGATATCTTTCTGACGTACCCGACCCAACTGAGGAAGTTTTATTTAGCTCTGATGGCCCCCAGCCTCATTTTATCACGGTGGAGTTCCCTTGCAAAGTGGCAATTCAGGTACAGGAATCATTTCGCATGTGCCACCAGCGTTGACCGAAGTCAACCAGAAAATCAGTATATACCTTAGTTGGCCACAGGATGACTCGTACACCCCATCAACTCTTGCTATCCGTGCAGGAACTGGTCCCAGCGACCTTCAAGATGTACGGATCGCTACTTTGGAGAAACCGGACGGCTGGATAACGTTTGATGTTTCCTCAGAACCTGACGAAGATGGGAACTCGTTGTGAATTGTTTTTCGAACGCTGCTGATCCTCGTTAACTCTCTTCTAGTAAACCTGTCCATGCGTACGTGCTACAAGTTATCGTGGTGCAGAACCATATGAGCGGAAAGGACACCCACATACGAGGGCTCCGTGTCCTTGGTCCTCAGGAGTATGCACCTCGGACCTAGTATCTGCCGAGTGTGGCGCTGACACGAAATACAGAGAAGATGCTACTGATGGCGATCCTTTCCCTTGGAAGTCACCGGACTTCAAGATGCACGAAAGATTGCGGTGAACAGCATACATACCATGTGTATCATTGAATATTCTATCTTCTATGGAAAGTGGGCTAGACTGCTGTGGTTTATTACGGTGTGTACTTCTCTTGACCTTCTGTAGCAACCATTGGCTAACTCTCGACGCGGAAAATGTGTGGTTGATAACTGACATGTGCTCAACACTAGGAGAATGCAGCAGAATCAAGATATGACGCTGGTAGATGAAATTTGGCGGATGGGCTCCAAGAAACAAGAGGTCGAGAGGGTGAAGAGAGTTATCACTGACGATGAATGTCAAATATTCAATTGGCCGATCTCTGGGACGGATTTTGGGAGCCCCCATTACTGAGAAGTTTCAGAGACCTGCATTTGTCCCGTCAATGTGCTCAATAATAGGATTTTAGTTCTTTATGCTGCTGCTGTGCCTAGATTGCTACTATCCCGCTAACATGTACTCTAAGAGTTAGCCAGCTTTGCGAACATCTCTCTGGATTGCTCGAGAGTTGCACATTCCGTCTCGAATGTCTTTTTCTGTCGTGGTCAAGAATAAAAGGTTAACAACGTTCTAGATCTGGCGGTCAAAAGAGAGCAACGCCACCTTCTCTTCATTTGTTATTTGCACAACGGATGGCACGGTCTCAGCGTAGTCTGGTTGTGAAATAATCTTCACGATCTTTTCCAGATTGAGGCGCGCAAGCACGAGTTTCCTGTCACACTTGGCTATCTCAGCGTCAAGGTCAACAAGTCCCTTACAGTGAAACGAGTGAGGGTCACATTTACAACATGGGACTATTACACACATACCTTGACCAACACGTGGACTGTTGTGGTGGAGTTTATGACAGCCGACCCGCACCCCGCGGGAAGGGCTTTCACGTCCTCGATGACGTTTACAGCACTGCACCCCTTGATCAAAGTGATCATAGCTTGCGTCTGCGAGCGGAACAAATCGATCTCCTTGCTCGTCTGGGAATGAACGAATACTGGAAAAATGTCAGTACTAACCGCAGTTAAAGTATAACAACTCACATTGGATATTGGACTGGAGGTTGTAAGATGCAGCAAGCGACCTAGCTGCACGCACGGCAGACAGCACTACATCAAAATCTTTTTCTCTTCGGAACTGGTGAAGTCAGGATCCTGCTTCAATTCAGTAAAAGTAACTCTGAATGGCAGATGCATAACCCACATTGGTGGGGTAAGATGCTATCATGATGGAGGGGGTGGGATCTGTCGGACGCCTTGGCAGTCGCTGCCATAGCTCCTCCGTAACAAAGGGCATGAATGGATGAAGGAGGCGCAGACCATGATCCAGGCAAGTATATAATGTTTGTTGCGCTGACCTACGAGTCTGGAGGGGGACCGATACGTCGGTCAAAGGTTTCATCGCCTCCTGTGAACAAAAATATGAGATCGATACACATTTAAATTCAAAGCGGCCCCACAATATAGACGTCACAGAGCTCATATAACCAGAAATTGTAGGCTGACGTAGTCGCAGCCATGAAATTACGTTGTTGGAGCTGCGTGTTGATCTGTGTTGCGGCTATGTTGAGCTTGTGTAGGATCCAGCGTTCCACAAGACTTTCATTTCCAGTTGGCTTCAGAAGCAATGTAAACCCAAGAACTCATCGTGCAAGTGGCATACCTTCGCAGATGCCTCTGGCGAAAAACTGTCGTCAAGTTTGAGCATCGCAAACTTCGTAGCATTGAATATCTTGTTGCAGAACTTGCGGTATCCCTCTACTCGCAGGATTTCTAGGTTGATATCTCTGCCTAAACGCAAACTCAGTTATGTATGGTTCACATCGTAATGATCACCTTACCGCCGCCCGAGTATGCGCAGAGAGCAAACCTCAACCCATCCGTACCACATTCCGGAATGCCCTTCGGGAAATCCTTCTTCTGACCAGCGATCGCCTTGAGAATCTCCTTCTCATCAAGATTACCTTCATACAGCTTCTGATGGAGTTGCTCAAGTGGCAGCCCGTGGATGACGTCGATCGGGTCAATGACGTTACCGAGCGATTTGCTCATTTTACGTCCATGAGCATCGCGAATCATCGCGTGGCAGAGTACTTCAGAAAATGGCATCTGACCGGTAAGATAGATGCCCATGAGAACCATACGCGCCACCCAGAAGAAAAGGATGTCCCAGCCGGTTTCAAGGACGCTGGCAGGGTAATACTGAGAGAAGTCGGCGGTCTATTGGTGGACGATTAAAGCCAGTCAGTTTGCTATGTATGAAACATCGTGCCTTTTCTGGCCATCCCATGATTGAGAAGGGCCACAGTCCAGAGGAGAACCAAGTATCGAGGACATCTTCATCTTGCTCGAGCGTAAAATTCTTCCCATTTGCAAGGATCTTTGCACGTTCGGTTGCTTCTTCCACAGTCCGACCCACAACCCAGTTCTTTCCATCATTTCTCTGTATTCAAGAGTAAGTGTGCGGGAGTTGGACTGATCATTGAAATACGAACGTCGATATCTTCTCCCTCAATTCGAACGAAATAGGCTGGGCATCGGTGACCCCACCATAACTGCCGTGAGATACACCAGTCCTGTATGTTTTCAAGCCAGCGATACCAGTCTGCTTCACTCTGCTTGGGGCCAATCGAAAGTTCGCCTGCCCTCGTACGCTAAAATGATCGTTGAAAGAAAGTCGAGTGAGATATAATATGACTGACCTTGATTGCTTCTGCAGCAAGAGGTTGGCAATTCACCCACCACTGAGGCTTCAAGACAGGCTCGATGATGTCGCCTGATTTACTGCAAGAATACGTCGACTTCAGTCACCGATCGACTTGGAATCAGTACGGGCGCGTACCTGCAAATGGGGATCTGCATGGAATTATCCTTGGTCTCGACGAATAGGCCCAGATCTGTGAGCTTCTTTATGACCTCGCGCCGAGCGTGGAAGCGTTTCATCCCCTGAATGATGCATGTCGCTCAGATCAAAGTGTAATTTTCGCACACAGACGCACCTTGAAATGCTCTCCAGCATTTTCATTGAATGTTCCATCATCGTTCAAAATGTTGATGAAATCAAGCCCGTGACGGACACCAACCTCATAATCGTTCGGATCATGAGCTGGCGTGATCTTCACTGCACCAGTTCCAAACTCCTTATCTACGTTTTCGTCGACGATAATGGGAAGACGCCTGTTCAAGAATGGATGGATGGCAAACTTGCCATGAAGGTGCTACAAACGTATTTCAATCTTGATTATGATTTTTATCAATCATGAATATTACCTTGTATCGATCGTCATCTTGGTGCACTGCAATAGCTGTATCACCAAGCATTGTTTCCGGGCGGGTCGTAGCGACGACAATCCGTTCATCTATTGATAGAAATAAGAAACAAATGGTATGAAGATCAATTAGAACATACCTGATCCTTCAATTTGATATGCAAATGAGGTGATGACACCAAATTCGAATTTTTCCTTTGCGTCGTAGCCTGGGACGTTGAGCAAGGTACGGCCAGGAAGTTGTTTTTGGTCCACCTATGCAATACAACTTATGTCAATCGTCAACGGATGAATTCTTCGACTCACCTCAAGGTTCGAGAGGGTAGTATTCAACTGAACGCACCAATTAACAAGTCGATTGGCGCGGTAGATGATGCCATCCTCGTGGAGCCGACAAAACGTCTCAGTAACAGCTGTTGATAACGACTGGTATAACAGTCGATTAGATATGTGAGAGATGCTTAAAATTACACCCACGGGATTCATTGTGAAGGCGACACGGTCCCAGTCATAGCTTCCTCCAAGTCTCCTCAATTGATTAGTGATGCGTGCTTGGTAGCTAACACCATGTGAGAGAATGTTCCGTTCAGAAAACAACTACGTACTCATTTTTCCACTCCATCACCTTGCCCAAAAACACCTCTCGACCGAGATCGTGTCGGGTCTTGCCTTCCGCTTTGTATAATCGTTTTTCAACAACGGATTGTGTCGAGATTCCAGCGTGATCAAAACCTGGGACAAAGAGGGTAGTCTTTCCGAGCATCCGATTCCTGTCGTCGCTATGAGCATTACGATCATATCAGATACGGATTTATATTTACCAGCGTATTAAGCAATCCTGAATGGCAATAGTCAGTGCGTGACCGATATGCAGGCTTCCGGTGACGTTCGGGGGAGGCATCGGAATCACAAAGACGCCCTCTGGTTTGGTCTCGCCATTCTCCGTGGTCTGAGGCTTGAAGAAGCCTTGGGCCTCCCACCAATCGTACCAAGCAGACTCGACTGCGATAGGATTATACCCACTTGCCATCGGTTGAGACATATCTATACAGTGTCAAGAAAGAAAGAAAAAGAATGTGAAGAAAATGCACCTTTTTTCTCGCCCTTAGGAGTGGTGTTTACAAATGCAGGTTCCTGCTCCTTCTTCTCTTTGTCTGCCTTTGCCTTCTTTTCGCCAGCAGGAGTGTTAGTGGCTTGCTTGAGATGTTTAGCAGCGAGCTTCGCCTCTTTCTCTAGTCTCTTGGCCTCCTTTTTCGCTATATTCGACAGCCGATTAGATTGTGTCGAATTACTAGAGTAACAAGGGTCTGCTCACCTGCACTTTTCGAAGGACCATCAGACTCGGGAGTGACTAGGCCAGGATCGTTCGGAGTCGTTGCCATTGCTAAAGGTCGAATAGAATGTGATCGGTGTGGTAAATGAAAAGAAAGACCTCTGACTTTCTGAGTGACTACGTATCGATGCCTTGCTATAAACATCCACCTGCGATCAGATTGACTCGAACAAGCTATTCTTGACTGATATATTACGTAACAATATGCTGTAGCGCATACTTGCGTGCACGGTGATTCCGAATGACTCGAATCTTTGAGGGCTAGCGCTGACTGGTCGACTGGTGACCAGTGAATTTGCATTCCCTCCCACCCTGTTGTTCGAGCGTCATAAAATTGATCAACAAGCGGTGCCCCGTTAAGTTTGAGTTCTGAGATGAAACCACGACATATATCCAGTGAGAGAATACCCATCTACTTGATTTCAATGTGTTTGATGAAGAAACGGCAAGAGAATCACGATTAAAAGGGAATATCTATGCGTCCGGACCAAGAAGTCGTCAAGCCTACCACCGATCTCTGGCACCACCATATTCGCCGTGGCCACCTCCTCCCCCACCGCCGCCACCGTATCTTCCGCCTCCACCGCCTCCACGACCGCGACCCCCGCCGCCATAACGACCTGAATGGCCAGGGTCAACACATGAAACGGATAGACGTGCTAGAGACTTACTGCGGCCTCCCCCTCCTCCACTGTACATGGCCATTTCCTCCAGCTGTTGTGGAACATCGGCCTTCGCCTCACGCAAGATGGATATCAACTCGCGAGCAGACTTCGAGTTATCGGTGGTGAAGTACGTGTATGAGGTACCCTTCATACCGGCACGCTAAACAAAGTTAGAACCAAGAATAAGTGGGCTGAGTGAGAGCAACTTACTCCCGTGCGACCAATGCGATGGATATAATCTTCGCAGTTGTTAGGGAAGTCGTAGTTCTAGAGGGAAGTCAGCAGCTGATTAATAGCAATAAACCACTACGACACTCACAATCACATATCCGACATCCTTGACATCTGTGATGCCAGCAATGCAATGCAACCGCGTCACGTACAGAACAATAGAATAACATATGAACAGGCAACATGTAGCACATTGCAAAATCAATAACATGACAACAACCAAGAGACACAAGCGCGTCCAACATAACAGGGAACAAAGATCGGACGACTTCATACAAACATTATTCATGGCACGTCACAAGATCGGGGGACGTATAGCATGAACAAAGGGCATCGCGGTCCAGGAAGACAGGTACCAAGCGTGAAGCAGCGGACATATTGAGAGGAGGTATAGCCAGGAAGTCCGTGACGAGGGCTCCACATCCGGGACCATAGCACTTTGAATCCCTTTGGCCCTCACTGACGGGAGGACACAGGATGCTTTGGCGGATGGAACCTTGACGACTTGGAATCCTCTCGTGATCACGCGGTTCTGCTATAGCACGTCTCGCTCGAGAAGAAATTTATCCCTCAAGCCTGGCTGTAAGCACGGAGGGAGAGCAGTGTAATCATGACTCATCCCGTCTTGTTACACGCGTCAGTGAACACCAGAGTCACGAGCAAACACAACCCAGATAAAGTCGGGTCATTGCTACTTTAACCTGAGTGCTCGAAAAGCCCTCCCATTTGTAGGAGTCCCTGATGGAGCGCTTGCAAGAAATGGCACACGTACCTAAACCACGGGACGCAACGTCCGTGGCGATCAATATGGGTGAGCGACCCGCCTTGAATTCCCCGAGAACCCAATCACGTTCCCGCCTGTGGAAGCGCTTAGTAGAGATCGAACGAGTAGCAGATAAAACCTACTGTTCTTTGTCACCATGGATGGCAAGAGCTGGCCAGCCGTCTTGACGAAGGTATTTGGTGATATCGTCCGCAACGCGTTTCGTCCCGACAAATATGAGTACCTTAGCATTCTCAGAGCTGATCTGATCAAGATGTCTGATCAGCTTGGCACGCTTCTCGAAGTCACTGCAGACTTCGACAATCTGCTGGATGTTGTGGTTGGCAGTGAGTTCCATAGACCCGATGTTAACCTGAATCATGTCTTTCAGGAAGTCCTGCAGATAGTGAGCTTAATCGTCCAACCATAAAATATGGATTGCTTACATTTGCGAGTTTCTGCACATCCTTCGGCCATGTAGCACTAAACATCAGTGTCTGACGATCAGGGCGAATCTGAGATACAATCTTGCGTATCTGGGGCTCGAAACCCATATCCAACATGCGATCGGCCTCATCCATGACTAAATACGTGACACGACGAAGATTGGTTTTTGATGTCTCCAACATATCGATGAGTCGTCCAGGAGTGGCGATCACGACCTCGACGCCACGTTGCAGGTCACGAATTTGGGGACCCTTGGGAGCGCCACCGTAAATGGCAGTGTTACGGATGCGAGAGCTCGACCTATATACTACATCAGCGAAATCCAACGTGATGAGTTGACAAACATACCCAAACTTCGTGCACTCCTGCTGAATTTGTACAGCAAGCTCACGGGTGGGCGCAAGGACAAGTGCGATCGGACCGTCGCCGGGCGCAAGTAGAGGTTGACTAATTCCTAGTGAGTAAATCATCAGACGGTGAGATACACACGTACGCATTGATATGAAGCATGGCGGGTAGAGCGAAAGAAATCGTTTTCCCACTCCCTGTTTGAGCGATCGCAACCACATCTCTGCCACTCAGTGCCATAGGCCATGCTTGACATTGAATGGGAGTTGGCGCGGCAAAGCCTTGTGCACGAATCGACGCCAAGATGTATTCAGGAAACCCTGCCTCATCAAAAGATGTGACAGGTCTGGGAACACTTCGTCCTTGGACCTTCAGGAAATCATCAGCGATTGTTGGCTTTCCACAAATTCTCACGTACCTTGATTTCTTTGGTTTTCCGAAAGTCTTCCACCTCTCTTTCAGTCATAGCTGAAACACGCTTGTCCTCGACATAGAAATTCTTCTCAAAACGCTCGAGCTTTTGTGACGCCCAATCGATCATTCTAAGACCACCGCCTAAACCTCCCATTTTGTCTTCGTAACCACCGCCACCACCCCATCCTCCTCCACCCCCGTAGCCGCCACCTCCACCATAACCGCCGCCATAATTACCGTGACTCTGGACAAGGACATCAGCAAAATGCATGGTTTCTCCAGTAAGAAGCTTTACCATAATGTTGTCTATAGCGTGAACTAGAGAATCGGAAAACAAGGATGTTGCGAGGATCCGAAAGCGTGGCGGTTAGAGAGCAAGAAACAAAGAGCACACTGGAAAAAATGCGTTCGATTTGGAGTAAATAAACCACAATATGCTTACGTGATATTCTTCTCAGATACTCGAAATATTCTAAGTACACATGATCCCAAATATTAGGGCAATACATAATGCAACCAGTTTGGTCTGTGCGGGGTATATATGTAAAATGACGTGCATGAGGGTGATCATAGCCGAAGTTCGGACCTGATGCGACTTCGATGGGCGTAATAAATCAAGACATTGTGAGTAGCATCGCAGATATTCTGCATCCATCACATCACGATGCAGGGTTTGCGGCGTAGCCGGCGTGAAGCCTTCTTCATGGGTGGTTCATCTGGGTAGCGTATAAGCATCTGCTTGACAAGTTCTTGGAAGACATCGTTAATGTGCCAATCACGCTTGGCTGATGTTTCGTAGAATGGTATCTTCCAAAGCGCAACCAGGCATTGTATCGTGCTTCTTGCCACTTCTCGTTCCGTGACGAGGTCGAGCTTTGTCCCAACAACAACGATAGGAACATCCTGCGTATAATGGTAGTCACTGTATTCGGTGATATTCAACGGCACTTACGCTATCCATTCCCTTCACTCGATGTATTTGCTGTCGAAGATTGTCCAGCTCCCTAAGACTTGCTTCTTGTGTGAGGCTGCGGTGACATCAGTAGGTCAAAATAAATCAAGCTATTTCTTGTAATGCTTACCTGAAGACTAACACGAATCCCTGGCCGGACTGTAGGGAACTGGTGTGAGTTCGACACTATACATCCCAAGATCATCAATATTTACTTTAATGTAAAGCTCTTTCAGAGCAGTAAATTGCTCAGCACCAGCAGTATCCAGTACTTCTAGCTGCAAGGAAACAGATGGTTAGAAATGACATTAGCAAAAGGTGTTGGGGGTAGTAGGAACACACGCGATCCGAGTCTCACCGAAGTCTTTACGCCATCAATATCGAGGATACGCCGATAAGCTTCTGCAAAACGATGCAGTAAGCCCCTCACGTCACATTGAAATAGACTATCGTTGAGGATGCACCTTCGATTGTGGGGTCATAGTTCTCCAGGAAGACATCTTGAACAAATCGCACCGTCAACGCAGACTTCCCTACTCCTCCAGCTACAACATATGAAACAATACAGTAGTCACAAATGAACAAATAACATAATGAACAGATAACATACCTCCTAGGACGACGACATTGAAGTGCCTCATATTTTGAGAGGTGGGTATGAGATAAGGAGCCAACGGGTGCACGCGCACTGCACACTGGCAAGTGATGCAACCTGTGCCAGGGTGTGGGAAGTAATCGAAAGCATGCACGACGCGTCTAAAATAGTTTCTCAGCGGCAGGGACTGAGATGCGAGAATCGGGAGAGCAAGAGAAGCGAGAGCGCAAGCAGTGAGTGTGGTTAGAAACCATAAAGACGAATGAGATCAATTGTTAATATTGATGTACTTCGCTAACGTGTTTTTCGGAGCATCAATCGCGTAGCAGTCGTGTCCTAAAAATTTAAACATGCTTCCTTTGAGTGGTTCGTGAAGTAATGATGCGCAACGGAAGCAGAATGCACAATCCGTGACGATCGGTCGATCTACTTCAATTGGCTTGCTATTATAATCAGATGGCAGGAATTTGAAGATAACCTGGTTTTTTTTGAATTGTCCGGTGGGGCGGGTAAGACAGCCTGGTCAAGTAGAAACCTCACGTTCCACCAACCTTGTTATATTGCATAATACAATACAAATGATGATATGCCGAAACGAAGGAGTGACATGTAGGAGGCATCTTGAGAGTGCTTCATAATGAAAGAGGGATGAGTAGGGAAAGGAGTAAGAGAATGCAGTTGAACGTGACAAGAATTAGATAACGCGATAAGAATTATGGACATGAAATATGGGCCCGCACATCTTGAAATCATGTCGGCCAGCCACCTGCAATCCTAGCAGCACCAAAACCAACACGCCCCATAATATTCCAAAGAGCAGAAGTGCCATCATAACCAAAGCCTTCGCCAGGTCCTTGCATGCTGTTGAAACTCGACCAGGCAGCGCGGTCATATACTGTTGGGCCACCAACAGGCGAATATTGCGCCCCGATGGCTGGCAGACGCGAAGTCATGCAGAGAAATACAAGCGCCATAGCCCCAGCACTGATGAGTGCCTGCCGAGCAGCCCCAGCAAGCCAAGCGTCGCCCCCCTCTTCGCCCCCTTCGTTTCCGCCCTTGCCGATGACATAGGTATTGTAGATTTTGTAAAAACGGTTCTGACGACGCGGCTGACGCTTAGTCGTCGAGCAGGCAATCAGCTCATCTATCATCTCGCATTCCACGCCGAGTTCTTCCTTCAGCGCTTTCCATTCCTCGACGGCGTCTGCTGAGATTCCTCCGGGAACGCCACGTATTGGTATGGTGATGCCTTTGTGTCGGTCCATCAATGCATTATTGACTTGCTCGAGCTCGGTCACAAAGTTGTAGGAAGGAGGTGCATCGTTCAGGTGAGGAGAGTCCAGGTGCCCCTTGGGCGTGGGAGGGAGGACAGTTGATGATGAAGATGCGAGTGCCTCGTCATCTTCTGCGGTGACCTGCGGTGAGACGGGTCGAGAGATTTCTAACTCTGGCTCATCTGTTTGGATTTCGATACTCGATGTGATCCGTGGCAATTCTGGATCGGTTTGGACTGCAATGATGCCGAGGGGGACTTCTTCCGTTTGAATGGAGGACGAAGAAGTAAGAACTTCTAGTTCTGGATCTGTCTGCATTGCACACGCTGATGTATACTCTGCAGCGTCGTGTTGCGTGAATGTGTCAGTGTATTTCTTAGTTTCTGAGAAAGTGACGATCTCGGCTTTGTTAGTACGACCAACTTTCTGTTTGAGGTGTCAGATGCGAGACACAAATGTGAAGATTACTTACCCTCTTCTTCCGGGTTATTATGGTTTGAATGACATCCTCCTCATCTTCCGTATCCTCATTCAGATCTAGCTCTAATTCGCCACTATCTTCCTCATCCTCGAGTCCATCGTCCTCGCCACCCCAGCTTTCACCCATCTTTCCCATAAGTTCAGCGCCCAGGCTCTTGCTCATAGTATTCGCCGCACTAGAGTGCCCGCTTCCTGCAGCAGCGTTTGTTGCAGCACTGCGCATCTCGTCCATATCAAACCGCATGCGGTCGATGGTCTCCTTGAGCATGAGGTTTTCCTGCTTCTGCTCATCGAGCTGGGCGTGGGCTTGTTGCGCAATGGCCAGCTCCTCTTCAAGATGTGCGAGGCGATCTTCGTAGGATGACGCTTCTTTAGCCCACTTCGCAGCTTCGAGTGACTGGAGCGCGGCAGCATCTCGGTAATCTTTGATGTCTTGGTCTCGACGGCGGAGCTGGTTGCGATAGCGTTCAGATTCCGCTACAATGATGTGAGTCACATTTTTTTCGAGGTCTTGCAGCGAACCTACCGCACTGCTCCTGGTATTGTTTCTGTAAACTTTGGTAAGACGAACGTGCATTCTCCAAACTTTTCTCCAACTTTGCGATTTCGGATTCCAACGCCGTAATTTGGGTTGAGTTGGTTCGCTAAATGACATCGATCAGATACTGTTCACGCACTTCACGCATTACATACCTCCTTCGTTCGGAGCTCCTTCTCCTCCCGCTTGGTAGAGGTAAGTTCACTCTTGAGTTCTTCCAAGCGCCCCTGCATCTCATCCAAGTCCATGTCGTGCTCATTCAGCCTGTTCTCAAGTGTCCTCTCAGCCTCGATCAGCTTCCGCCCAAGCTCTGCATTAGCCTTCTGCAATGCCTCCAGCCGCTCTGTGGGTTCAAGTGACACAGTCGATGACGCTGCAGACCGTTCCATAACTAAGCTTAAAGATGACTCATTCTCGCCATCAGAATCCGAGTCAGATACTGAGCGTGGCATGGGCAATGAGGAGAGTTGGTGCGTAAAGCTGTGGCCTTTCTGTGGGTAATCAAAGGACGAGTCCATGTCAGGTGAATGTTCTCCCGAAGAGAGGTGATCCCGGTCTGGAGATGAGTAGTGGATCCCGATGCTAGTGAAGGGCTGCGACTGGGTACGGGAGTGCGGCCGCGCGAAAGGTGGCGAACCAACCGAGTTAGGCGAGAAGAGTCCTATGGAAATGCTCGAGGGACTCGTTGGATTTGACGGGGTGCGCGTTCGACCAAACACACTGGGACTGGAGGAGAAAGACGACTTATTGCAGTTAAGTTCAACATGTGAATATACTTAGAAGGAGTTGCGCACTTCTGAGTCACTAAGAGCGCGCTGAGATCCGCCATCAATACTTTTGCGTCTGCTGGCAGGTGCAGGGCGCTTTGACCAGCTTGAAGGGGGCTGTGCGTCCAACGGGGTTGTTCGCTGTCGTCGCGACGTATCAAAGGCAGAGCCAATCGCTGTGTTGGGCGTCTTGGGTGGCACGGACGGTGGTCGGCTGGAGACGCGTGAAGTTCCTACCGAGCTTCTGCTAGATGATCGCGAGTGGTTGGTGCGAGAAAAGGGATTGCGCCCTCGATCGTCGGGCAGCGTTACATCCTCTTCCAATGGCGAATTATTTGGGCTGTCTCGTGGGCTGTGCCTCGTCCTCTCTGCAACGACCTGGAGCAAAATCTGAGGTGTAACTTCAATTCCGGGACTGCGCGCGAGGATTTCCTTGAGCGCGCCCATCTCGCGATCGTCGAGCAGGTCGACGCCATTATACGAGTCCGAGAATGCACTGAGTACATCTGGGAGTGCATCTGCGGGTATCGCTGGTTCTCCTGATTGGA